GGGTGCATATGTGACCCACAAAAGGGGGGGATCTGATTAAGGCTGCCCCTTGTGAAGGGCCACATTGATGGGTGCGGTAGCTCAGTGGTAGAGCGCAGAGCTCAGATGTGGGCAGGGTGCATGTGTGACCACAGAAAGGGCAGAATCTGGAGAATGTGTAAAGCACCAAATTAAACAAAAGGCTGAAGAAAGATGCTTGAGTCTTGTTGCCTGCTTGATCTGATGTACGTTGAGCGCAGAAATGGGGAGAAATTGATGATGTCTGTCACAACCTTTGTTCACAAGAGGGGATCATGGTGATTTGGAAGGAGGTGACGCATACAGGAGGCGCGCGCGTATCAGTAGCGCGCGCGCGCCGCGACAACCTCAGCTGAGCACCTGAGGGTGACAGGTGGGACAGTGTGCTATGCTGTGCACACGGTGATCTCCATCGATGAGTCCCTGGCTGTTTGTGAACAAATGACCCTATTTGATCTCCAAATCCATGCCTTATGCTGTGCGCACGCCATGTAGGGAAAAGCATCTCTTCTCCCTGAGCTCATCTACCTCCTCCATATCTGATGCAAGCTCATCTTCCTCCATTAGCTCATCCTTCTCGTTGTTCTTGTCCTTCACTTGGATTTTGTCCTTCACTTGAGTTCTACTGTCAAGATGCTCACGTAAGGCGCTGCACGCGTGACAACATTCCATCTTGGTTGTTGGCATGTTCTCAGGCTTGGCTTGCACTCCAATGACACTTGGTGCCTGTGGTCCTTCTAGAAGCGCCTGCAAGAGAGATGATGGGAGAGATTGCGCCTGTAAGCACCAATTGATCATCTCAGCTGCTGCGGCAAGGGACTTTGACGTACTTTGAGCATCTCTTCTCCTTGAGCTCATCGATCTACCTCCTCCTCCATAAAATGTCACTCAGACATCCATACTGCAACTCATGCAGCCCAAACATCTCCTACACATCACACACATGTCTTTCAGACAATCTTGATGACTCACAAACATTCTCAATGTTGCTTTGGCATTCCCACTGTCTTAGAGCCATTCTGGTACGCAACGCACAAGAACTCTCAGATGCTCCTGTAACATATCCATAGAGGCCCTGAAAAGCTCTCTGCCACTCTTCAACCCAACCTCTTCTCACCCATCATGCCCGCCCTCTTCCTTGACTTTTTACTCCTCGACAGCACTCAACATCTGCGACCGTTTGGCGTGCCCTTGCCAATCAGACAGACGCCGGAGCATGGCAAGAGCAGCAGCGCTACATGTACGCACAAACTCACGAGAGTCAGAAAAGTCACGAGTAGCACTTCCAAGCAATTTTGCACTCGCGGGATCTCCGGACTTGCACATTCAATTGACGAGAAGGCTGCCTGGGGGGGGAAAGGGGGTGGGGGAAGGGCTGGGAGGGGGCATGAACCCCAACATCAGCACCCACTCGCGCTGCTCTCGCGCAAAAAATTGGTTCACATCTACAATCATGCAGACCAGCTCGACTCATTGTTGTTTCCATGTCTTTGCATCAGTCCTTCTCGCGCACGGCTTTCGAGAGCGAGAGTCAGAGCGCACGCGCTCGTAGTGATGAGGCCAAACAGCTACACGAATGCGCACGATTCATCAGATGTCCAGCGCTCCGGGAGAGCCACGCAACATCCTCGAGATAGTTCAGATGGGACCCCAATCACAGATTCGTCCTTTCGGTGAAAAGTTTCGTGATTGATGTGCTGGCCACGCAAAGTGAACCCGCACACTTTAGCCCACGGTGTAGATCAAACGCATTCGATTAAAGTGGCTTTCATGTGTGCGGGCGCCGTGCTTCTGGGAAAATTCGCGAGGAAAAAGAGGCGCATGGCGCGTCACTTTGGCGAGACTACGTTGGCCGTGGAAGGGCTGACGACGTGTCCTATCGGCGTACCCGTAGCGCTGCGTGGAGCCGGAACGAGCTGCTCCTCCTCCAGTCCCTTTCCCACGCTTCTTCCCTCCGCATTCCTAAGCTTGACCACTTCGTCCACATAATCCGTAAACATGCCGTGACTATCCTGAGGACCTCCAGCGCTTTCGGGATGGAATTGCGCAGCCCAGACCAGCTTGCCGCTCTCTGGCGAAGCGCGCAATCCCTCGATGCTGCCGTCGTTTGCATTGACGAACCAAGGGATCCATCCGGCTGGCCAACCGCCGTTGGGCGCATCGTGATCCCACGATAAGCAATAACCGTGGTTTTGCGAAGTGACGTACACGCGACCCGCCTTGATGCAGTTGCCGACAGTGGATAGGCTGATGACGGGCTGATTGTGGCCTCTATTTCCAAAGGACATGCGGTAGCACGTCGCTCCTGCTGCTAGACCGATGATCTGATTGCCCATGCAAATACCAAATACTGGCCTGTTCCACTCTGTAATCACCTTGCGCGTCGTCTCGATGGCTTCGGGGATGGAGTTGGGAGAGCCGGGTCCGTTGGAGAGGAAGAGTCCATCGAAGCGATCCCTGACCGCGTTGAAATCGTAATTCCACGGAAGGACAGTTACGCTGACGCCTTCTCGCACCAAGCAACGAACGATGTTGGCCTTGCTTCCAAAGTCGAGCAGAGCAATGTGAGCGCGCGCACCGCTCTCTCCTAGACGAGGATGAATGGTGTAGGCGTGTTTCGTGCTGACGCTCTGGATCAAGTTGAGTTCCATCGGATCGAAGAATTGATCAGCTTCCGGCTTGACGTCGTGCTTCTCGCCGACGACGATGCCTCCCAAGGTGGACCCTTGATTGCGCAGGAGCGTGGTGAGAGCGCGCGTATCGACGCCCGAAATGCCTGGCACGTCGTGACGAGCGCACCAGCTGGCCAGACTTTCGCGAGCCTCAAAGTGGGAGAACCTCTCGCAGAGGTCAGAGACGACGACGCCAGCAGCTTGAATTCCGCGGCTTTCCAGGAAAGCTCCAACGTCGACATCTTCAGCATGTCCATTGGGACTGTAGCCGCTGAAATTATCTGGCACCCCATAATTTCCCATGAGCGGCTGGGTGAATACGAGGATTTGACCTTGATAGGATGGATCGGTGAGCGACTCGGTGTAGGAGGTGATGGCCGTTGTAAAGACGACTTCGCCGAATTGCGTGCGAGGAGAGCCAAAGGATTTGCCAGAGATGGCTTGACCGGACTTGAGGTGCAGCGTGGCTGGCTGCGACTCTGGTGCGGGCGAAGAAGTGATGGCGATGTCCAAAGCCGGGACGGCCGTCGCCAGACCGCGGGATGAGCTGACGCTCGGCGAACGAGGAAGGGTGTGCGAGGGACTCATTTTGCCGACGCGGACGACGCTGAGCGAGCGCAGAGCGCACAGCGAGAGAGAGCGAGCGGCGCTCGAAGAAGGTGCGCGCACAGCAGCGAACATGATGTCGACGTGCGCGGCAAAGGGTGGGCAAGGCAAATGGAAGAAGTCAGGCGATGGACTTGTAGACCGAATCACTGAGATAATCGTCTCGAGTCTGTTGGGTGAACATGCAGGAGCGAGCGCGTGAGAGAGCGAAAGAAGGAGAAGGAGGCGTCGAGGGAGCCACTGATGTCTTTTGCCGACGAGATAACAACGGTTGGTGGCCGAAGAGATGAAAGCGAGCGAGGCGAGCGTTGACATCACTTTGAGGCGTGTGTTGTGTGATTTCGCGCGCTTATTCTTCTGCTTCCTTCATTCTCCCTCTCTCTCGCGCGCGTCTGCGCGATAAGAAGAGGAGAAGAAATTTGGCGCCAAATGAGCGCATCTCGCGCGGGCGGCGGTGACTCGTTGCGCGCATGCGTGCGCGTGCGCGTGCGCGAACCGAGTCGTGAGTGCAGCACGCGCACTGTGACTGCTGATGTGACTTCGTGATCAAATTCTTGAATGCGACCATCGATCGGGTCACGCGCAGGCGATAACGCTATGGCACGTGACAATGCTGAAGCGACGCGCGCGCAACTCTTCAACACGTGCAGCGCTCGGCCCGGCGCGCTCGAGCGTGTTGTGTGTTGCTCGTCTGCCGGACGGGCGCGGGTGCGCTGATTCGCGCCGCTGATTCGCGCCATGTTCATTACGGTTCAAGATTCCCATTCAAGTGACGTCGACGAGGACATCACCGCCCCAGCATCTCGCCCACGACATTCGCCATACACTGTCCATCCAAAGCAACCAAGCTGCTACGATGGTGCGCGACGTCCAAGCGAGCAAAGCTAGCGAGCCAGTGGACCCACCGCCCGCGGATGTCGCCGCAGGCGCACCAGCCGACGACTCGCTCCTCTCACTCGCCTCCTCTTCCTCATCGCACCCCACATTCGATCAGCTCAACGCGCTTCTGCTCTCGCGGGGATACCTGAACGAGCCGCTGAACGTCTCTCCGCTACCTACGCGCTCTCTGGATGCGCTTTGCCAAGCTTTGCATTCGCTGCTCGGTCAGAGAGCTGAAGATGTGGACCTTAGAGACGCGCTAGCCGCACGAAATCGAGCACTGAACAGTCGTGCAGAGAGAATGGAGAGGGAGTTGCAAGAGGAGAGGGAGGCGAGACTGAGCGCTGAGCGCAAAAGCGAGCGCGAGCGGAGCAGAAACAAGTGAGTGGGTGTGCGTGCGCGGGTGCGCGGGTGCGCACTGCAATGCTCACCTCGCGCGCTGGCTTTGCAGACACCTGGCAGACGAAGCCAAAGCGCTGGAAGCGAATCTCAAGGCAGCGCAATCCGATTTGCAATCCAGCCGACGCGCCCTGCAAACAGTCAAGGCGAGCGCGCACCAATCCGCGCTGTCCAGCACTCGCCAATCGACTCGTCAGCGCGCAGCCTACTCCGAAGCGACAGCTGCTACCACTCGAGGATGCTTCCCAACCGCTCGTTGCGTGCCCTTTGCCTTTTTGGCAGACGACGCGCATGGACCTTTCAATCGCGCTGGAACGGGCGGCATCGAAGCTGCGCTTATGCGCGAAGCTGAAGAGAGAGCTTCCAGATTGGCAGATGAGAATATTCAATACAAGGCCATGCTCTTGGATGCGGCAAACGATGTCAAGGAGGCGGCGCGTCAAATTGTCGCCTTGTTGCCTATGGGCGGACAAGGGGACGCCTCCACATCGCTGTCGTCTAGCAGCAGCTCGCTCTACGCTTCGCTGAACGATCCGTGGACCATGGATCAACTCTTTGCCACCAGCATGGCCAGTCCGACTCACGTCGACGTGCACAAGCGCTTGCGCGCCGTGCTCAGCACGCTCCAAGAAGGTACGAGCTCGCTTCGAGCGTCGCGCGTCGAAGAGTCGCTCAAGCACGCCATGCGAATCAAGGATCTCGACGACGAGATCTCTGCTCTCTCGTCTCGGCAAGAGCCGGACAAGGCGAGAGAATTGGGAGAAGCTGCTGCCCAAGCGCACGCTTCTTCTATCGGCTTTTACCACGCCAGACAAACACCTCGAGAAGAAAAGAGGGAGATGGAGAGGAAGTTGTTGGATGCGATTACGCGATTGGGACGCGCGGAAGAGCAAGTGTCGATGCTGGAGCGCGAGAGGAGACGCTGGAAGGATACGCTCAAGAGCGGGACCGGAGCTGACGAGCAGATGGCAGAGGTCGCCAGACTCCGGCAACAATCAGAGGCGCTCAAACTCGAGCTCGAGCATGCTCGCTCGGTGATCAAGGAAGCGCAAACGGCCAACGATCGAGCTGTGGAAAAAATGCGTCTGGAGAGGCTTTCATGGGAAGAAGAGAGGATGCGACACGCGCAAGCTGAACAACGAGGCGCGACGACAAGAGATGAATCTTTGGGCGTCATCGCGGCTACGCAACGCGCAGCACCTAGCACGACTCGTCGCGCGAGCTTCTTTGGAGATGCGAAGAAGCAAGACGGCGATTCCAGCGCAGAGGCAAGCACTGTCGTCCTGCACAGTCTTGACGCGTCCGGGTCCAAGTCTACATCGAGATCAGAACCGAGCACCGCGCACGTGACGAGCGTTCGGCGAAGTTCTCGCGTATCCGAAAAGAGCCGACAGGGCGATTCGAGCGGCGAAACGGCGCGAACAGGGGCAAGTAGGCGATCGGCAGCGACAGACGATCAGATCGTGGAAGCACATCGCTCGCGTAGCTTAACCTCCCGCATCAACGACGATGCTTTCTCCTCCACGGAAAAAGAGCGTGGCACTACGTCCAACTCTTCCAGTAGGCGCAAGAGAGCCAAAGGGGCCGTGTCGGAGCAAGAAGCGTCCCCTTCTTATTCTTCTCGCTCAGAGCTGGCACAAGTGTCGGTAGCGTTGACCGTCGAGCCGCATAATGGTTCGCGCGCGGTCGAAGAAGAGACAGGAGCAGCGACAGATGGGCAACGAGGACGTCGTACTTCTCGCTCATCGAACAAACGAGCGCGTCAAGAGGAGGTGGAGCATGTGGGCTCGAACAATCTCGACCCTGGCTCCAATGTACCGTCCACTCTGATTCCCAACGTTGAGCGCAACACCAAACGTACTCTCTCTGGTCGACGAGTCGTCTCTTCCACACCCTTGGTGGATCGTTCGCTTCCGGATGCGCTCACCGTACCAAACGTCCTTCTTCCCACCGCATCTTCGCTCGGCAAGAGCAGCAAGTCGAACGGTGCGCCTTTCAGCTCCAGCTCCAATTCGGACGAGCCGGGCATCAAACGAGCACGCACAGCTTTAGTAGACGCTCCAGTCGGTACGCTCAACAGCTTGCCAGAGACGCGGGGGAAGGCTGGTCAAGCGCATCCAAAGGTGCTTCCCAAGTCGAGGCAGCAGGCCAGCACGTCCGAGGGCCCTAGAGCGACGCGTCAGCCCAGTTGGGCAGAAAGACAAGCTTTGGCTAGAGAAAGGGTCAGGGCGAGAAATGCCGGTGCCAGTGCGGCTACGGCGAGAATGCCTTGATCAGGCGGGTCCCACAGACTTGTGATCCAGCACCGTCACATACTCCTCTTCACTTTGCTCCCTCCTTGTACTTCGATACGCACGCAAATCACGCGGTGGATCAATGGCGAATTGCAATTGCACGTGGGCGCGCGCGCAGACGCACATATTGGGGGGGGGGGGGGGGCACTACGGTGACGTGCAAGAGTGAAACAGTGCAAACAGGAGCAGATGTGCTAGATGGACAGAGGAGCGGAACATTAGCTATTGGGCAATCGACTGAACCACAAGATGTAAGGTGAGCTGCTCTGCAACTGTCGAACGTCGGGCTGCTTCACCACTCTCGAATCGTCGGCATAGTGCCAATGACCCTGACTTCGCACGCTGGCCGTGTAATGACCGGTGTTGAGCGTGCCAAAGTGATGCACGACGCCCGCTAGGCGGTACAAGTACGGCGGCTGCTGCGATGCGCTGACCGGTGCGCCGCGCGGCAAGATGCCAGCGTGCGAAGGCATGTAGTTGGTCAGATCCAGCACGTCGTTGATGGGAAAGTCGACGGCCGTCTGCACTTTGTCCGTGCCTGCGCGAAAAGCGAAGCGCTTGAGATGCACAAGCAAGATCTGTAGAGCGTCGCAAACGTTCGCGTCAGTGTTTGCTTTCCCCCTTCACGTCGCAGAAACTTTTTCGCGACGCTCACCTGCGGCAAGCGCGAGATGGTCAACCTCTTGATGGCCTTTCGTGGCTTTTTACATGCAGGGCAATGCCAAGCGTCCGCCTTGTCCATCACCTCTTCCCTCACAAATGCATCCAAGCACTGATGCAAGGTGACGCGACCCTTGCTGCCATTGAGCGGCGTCGGTATGGGCAGCGAAAGGTACATAAAGGCGTTGTACGTCGTCGATGTCTAAGATTGCGCAGAAACATTATGAGTCGGTGGTCCCGCACCTAGCGCCTCCCAAACTCACCTTGCCGCATGTGCAACAAGTCAGCTTGTTGCGGAATTGTCCTTGAAACCAATCCACAACAAAGCTGTCGTTGCGCTGCCTGTAGATTCCCCACTCCTTGACGCTCGCGATTTGCTGCGGCAGCGTTTCCAACTCGTGTTCTCGCGCCGGCGTCATTTCTACGGGAGGAGGCTTGTGCACCACATGATTCAAGTCCTCGTGCAAGCCATCCAAGAGGAAAGCTAAAAACTCCTGCGCATCGTGCTGGTCGTAGCCCCTAAAAGCTGGTGCGAATCGAGTAATCGCTTCGCGGAACGTCACTGGCGACACAAAGGTGTACGACTCGGACCACATCACCCTGATCAGCTGCGCAAAGGCTTCTGCCAGCGCTCCTTGCGTGCCAAGAGGGTTGACGCGATTGATGGCGCGCTTGTACGAGCCGTCTAGAGCGATTACCAGTCAGCGAGCGCGATCGCGATCGTCCGTCCGCGCGCTCGCACAGACCTCAACTCACCAAGCAAGAACCTCGCCAGAGGCACAGTTGCACTCAAGCACTGCAAAGTGGCGTTCATGTAGCAGCTATTGCCCACATTCTTCAATCCCGTCATGCCCACGCGCACGTCGTTGCTGAGCTTGGCCGCGTTTGCAGACGCCGGCGTGGCAGAGGGCGATGACGGCGCGCCAGCAGAATAGGAAGAAGGTTTTGACCCGAGCGAGGAGCCCAACGCACCGAGAGGCGGTCTGCGGGTCAGATCCATCGAGCCCCTCGCAGCGTGCTGAGAAGCTGCGCCGGACTGCAACGAAGTCGGCAAGACGGAGAGCGATCCCGTGTGTCCGTGCCCATGAGCGGCCAGCGCCGCGCGCGAAGAAGAGGACATGCCGTTGCTAGCAGCAGCTGCGGGTGGCGGTGTGAGTCCGCTCGATCGCTCGTCGTGCGGCGGCACGGTCCCGGCATGCCCATTGCGCAACCTCGGATACTCAAAGTTGGCGCTGGCTCGCGAAGTCGCATGCTGGTTCGCTGGATCGCCACACGGAATGTGCGGCTGACTCGTGTGGTAGTCGCTTTGTCTCGATGAGCGACCTGAGGACACCGCTGAAGGTGCGGGGGGCGGGAAAGCTGGGGCGCCCATTGGAGGCGCGTAGGATGGAGGCCCGTTCGAAGAGCTGTACCCCGACTGGTAAGCCCGTACAGGCATTGATGGAGGCGCGTAGCTCGGAAGGGCTAAACGAGAAGGCAGTTGGTCTGCGTCGGCTTTGGGACCCTCAGTCGAGCTCGCCAGCGCGGGCGGCGCCATGCCTTCAGGAACTATCAAGCCCTGCCGACGCAGTCGTCTCGCATCGTCGTCTCGAGGCTGGCTATCGCGCCGCTGTTGAGGGTGCGCAGCCTGCGCACTATCGACGGATCCCGCATCAGCCCCTCTGCTTCCTGCCACATACGAAGCGTCGACCTTTCGTGACCACGATTCCACGCCACCGACCAACAGCACCGGGTGGTGACGCAGCGGTTTTGCAAATTCGCGCTCGTAGATTGCCGTGTTGATCGCGTTTAGAATCTCCGCCGCAGCCACGACCGCAGGAGGGAGATTCGATTGCGGCACGAGCCCGCGACTGTACGAGTCGCACAGCACAACCAAATCAAAAGTGTGCCTGTTCTCGAAAGCTTCGCGCTGTGCAGAGTCTACTCCTGATGCCGCCAGCATGTTGCCCATCTCCTCAGACGATATGCCCTGCTTGATATACATTGGGTCGATGCGCACACACGTGCCTGCGCTCGTTGGCACCGCGATGCGTTTCTCTGTCCACTGCTGCCGGCTGCGTACATCCAACAACAGCACTCTGCGGCCCGGCTTCCGGACCATTCTCGTTTGCGGTGGGGTTTCGGAAGCTGCCTCGGCCGCTGGCACGCTGACGCTTGCAAAGCCCGGATGCAAGAGTGTCCACAGCTCCTCCACCGTGATGAGATTCGAACGTGGAAGAGGTGGAAGCTCGGCGTCATTTGGGCGTCCAATGCTGGTAGACTCTCCCGCGACGGATGTCCCTGCAGGGAGAGGCAACGGCGGCCTCGAGGGACCGGCGGCGTGAGAGACTGGCGGAGGCGGAAGCGGTCTTGGCGGTGCGCTCGTGGCTGAGCCATTCTGGTGGCGCGACTGATCATGCTCGCTGGGTCCAGCTCTTTCAAAATCTTCCAATGCAGGATAGGAGCTCGTAAACTCGCTCACAGTCGGCAAATGTACCGATGTCGGCGACTCTTGCTTTTGAGTCGGTGTTGTCCGACCAGAACTCGTGTCGATGCGTCCCATCAAGGAGCCCATGCTGGGAGCGCTCCAGCTTTCGCTCGGCCGCAGCACTGGGCTGGTAAGGCCTGACCGATCATCCCCAGGAGCCCGCGGCGACTGCGTTGGTGTGGCGGGTCGTGGCAAGCGGGAAGCTACGTCGCCGTCTGTAGGATCTCGTCTGTGTCCATGTTCGCTCCCAAGCGCGAGTAGGGCTGATGCGCGATTCGAGCTCGGGCCCGAGGCACCAACTCCAGAGTCCCCCTGTCGAGCAGCAGCCATGCCATTGGATCTCAGAGCGCTGAGACGGTCCGCCAACGAGTTCACCTCCCTGGGTGCAGAGCCAGCCCCATTCACCAGCTCGACGTCTTCGTGAGAAGCTGCAGCCTGACCCTCAATTAGACCTGCATCTATCTCGCTTGCCACTTGCTCTGGCTGCGACTGCGACGCTGCTGTTGATGATGCCTGATCAGAGCGAGCTGCTTCGCGAGCATCTTCTCGCGCTTGCAGCTGTTTCTCGATGCGTTCCGTCCTCTCTATGATGCCAGGTACTTTCTGTACGTGCGACGAGCAGGCTGGGTCAGCATGTCCAACATTCCGCCACTTCTGGCAAACACCACCTACCTGCATAAAGTCCTGATAAGTCTTGTACAATGAATCCCGTGTTCCGTCCTGTCGCACACGAGAGATCATAGGCCATTCCGCGTGTCTGGGTATCTGCGAGGCCACTCTGAGGGGAAAGATGCGAGAATCAGCAGCGGCCTCTGCTCTCCTAAAAACTCTTCGCGGAGAGCCTCGGCGTCTGGTTTGCAGCACGAAGTACAAACGACTAGTCCGCGTGGCAACATCCTCCCTCGATGGTCTCGCCTCCGCAGCGCATCTCTCATCGCCCACTCACTTTGCGCATTTCAAATAATTCACAAACGCTCGTTCCATTTCGTTTTGTCTATAATCACTCTCCGCCTTTTCGTACAGCGTGTATGCAGCTCCAACGTAACTCTTGAGCGTAAATTTGCTGTCCAGCTCGGCCTTTGCATACCTCCTCAGGTTGGCTGGATGATTGGGACTGGCTGCAGCCAGCGATGCAGATGATATTGGTGCTGGAGAGACGGCATGGGCAGAGGCTGCGAGTGGCGAAGGTCGGTGTTTTTCGCTTGGGGCACTCGGAACAGAGCCTCGCCTAGGCAACTGAGTCGAGCCTCTCGAGGGACCGGCATCCTGGCTAGCGCTAGGTACAGTTGAAGATGACGAAGCTTGAATGTCCTGGCCGCTGCTGCTGGCCGCTCGCAAGGCGTCCAGACCTTCCGATGAAGGCGGTGGGCCAAGAGCTCCCGACATGTTCCTATGCGGGTGGATCGACCCGGGCCGCCGGAGAGGTGTCTAGAGCTGGGCGATACTGCCTTCAGCGGCGCAAGAAAGAGTGTTGAAGTCACGATGGATCGATTCGCACTTTAAGCAGCCCGGTGTGCGGTTGACCGAGCGCAGCACTGCAGTTTCGCTCGCAGTTGCGCAGGCGAAGCGGGATGTGTGCGCTTCACAAAGAAACGACAAGCGATGCAGGGTTGGTGCTGTCTAATGTTGCAGTGGTCGCGGTATGTCAAGCGTGAATCACTAGTGGCGCCGAATCCTCAAGCGTATCAAGAGAGTCGGACGCTACCACAGAACGAGAATGACACGAGATGGAGGTATGGAAGATCCATCGCTACATAGCGAGCTGAGCACCATCGCCCGCCCGCCTGCCCGCGCGTCACATGTGGAGCGGAGTTGCCTCAAAGCGCGACCGCGCCATGCCTTATGTATCTGCGCATGGTGCTGCTGCTGCTGCTGCGTGGCGCAGTCACGCCCAAAGCCACGCGCGGTTGAAAGCGATGGTTGTACGATGCTTGTCTGCGTCGATAATCACGAATACATGCATACGCACTTGACAGGGAGCGCATCAGGACAAGGAAAGTCTTGAGAATCCAAATGCGACGGTTAGCGATGCATATGCATTCGAATAGGGCATCCTCATCGACGGTGGACAAGAGACACCATACAAGAGTGAAGCGAGTGAATGGCGCGTTGCGTGACGCGCTGCCCAGCATCGATGCGATCGATCCACGTGTTCTGGGGACGATCATGACGGAGGCGTCAAAGCTGCAAGACTCGCCGAGTGGCGGTTGGAAAGAGTAGGAGGGAGACTGGGCCGCGCGAGGTAGTTTAGCGTGCTATTTGCAAAGCCCATCTCGCTCACAGCTTGGCAGCGTAAGCGTACTCGCCGCCCTTTGCGAGTGCTCTCTGTACCATTGTGCGCCAGAAACCATGAGCTGCGCTTGCTTGGCTCTACGTAGCTGCATGCTGCACTCACCTGATATGCTGGCCTTCTCTGTGCCTTTTCAACGTACGCCTTGAGATTCGCAGGAGCATTTGCAGCCCTTCCACCCACAATGCTAGCTTCCAGCGGGAACATGAGCTGATAATCTGCCGACGTGGGATTTCCATCCTTGTCACCTCCGGCAAACCAAATCTCCTTGTCCGAAGTGGCGGGGTCTCCACGCTTGGAGAGCGCTTGCGATACGTATGTTAGCTTGGATTTGATGTCGGGATCGACCAGCCTGCCGCACACTTGACCGCAGATGATTGAGACGATGGGTCGAACGAGGAACGGTGCTTGAGTAGGCACCGTGCTAAAGATCAACTTCATCACCATCGTGGGCATTAGTGAGCCTGATCAGGGTGAAGGTTCGTCGTGAGCTAAAGGTCAGAACACGTCCCAGCACCAACGCGACCAACCCACCTTCCGCAAAGTGCGACCACATGTTGTTCTCGAGCTTGTCTTCGGTAGAAACAGGCACAGCAGCGCCCTTGCCGTACTTTTCAATGATGAAATCTGGCGACCGGAACGTGATAAATCAGCCGCGCGATGCTGACCTTGAGCGCTGCGAACGCACCGACAATGGCACCGCTCTCCGCAAGCGTAATCTCCTTTCCGCTCAGATCCGTATCGGTGATGAAAGGGGATTTGCCCAGAGGGTGCGCTTGCTTGAGCTCCTTAGGAGCCAGCATGTCCGGTCCACGCTTGTAGTGCTTGATCTCATACTGGATGTATGCGTAGATGATTGGGGCAACAGCCACCGTGAGCCTAGCTTTCACAATGTCGCATCCACCGAATTCGGCTCACATCAACGCCAAGCTCTTCCAGCAGCCAGAGCACCCGCTGAGAACGACTGTTGTTGAGGTGGTGCTGAGAAGGAGATGCGGTGGTCATGGGTCAAAGTATCGGTAAGCAAGACACAATCAACCACATCTCCATCGCAGAGACTCACAACAATGAGGGTCATTTTGAAGCGCAACTGCGTATCTATCCTGTCGTTATCGGCGATTCGGTGTGCAGAAGAGTGGAATATCGAAAAGACCAGCTAGCTGTAGCTAAAGTAGTGAGTTGTTCAAGATCGGCTCACTTTGGCATCGAATGCCGGTCGCTGCCGTGTGCAGCGTGGTACCTCCACTCATCTTGACTCAGGCTGAGCGAGCTATTCGAGAACATTTCCTTTTGCTCTCTTGTGGTACGCTTGTCCTCGCGCGCTCGCGCGCGCCCGCCCACGATCGCAAATCATCTATTGCCCTCGCGCGCGACGCTGCTATCCTGCGCTGAGCAGCTCACCTTGAACGTGGTCTCCTGCCACCACCGCCTTTGCTGGTCAACACAACCTCTCTCAGCCGTCTTTCGCTCGCCAGCATGCCACCTCAAGGCAACAGACAGCGGCAGGAAGACGGTGATCCATCTCCGGCCAGCAAGAGGCAGCGTCTGGTGGTGCGTCTCAACAGGTCAGGCGGCATCAGTCATGACGCTGGGTCGGATGAGGATGAGGATGGTGTCCAAGAGAGTGGCGAGGCGAGATTGGTAGCTGGTAGACCTGCTGTAGCTGATGTCCGCGGCAACCACGGTGGAGGCGATGCAGACGACGCACCAGACTTGGCTGAGCCTGAATTCAGATCCGATGGCGAAGGCTCGGATGAGGAGGGCGATGGTGGTCTCACCATTGCAGTCGGTCGCGGTCGTCAAACAAACACGAAGCGAGGTGCTGCCATAAGTCGTCGGGGCAATGACGCATCGATGAGAGGTCGAAATGACCATGCAGGTGACAGCACGGGCGATGAGCCCGACGAAGCGTTGACGCCGCCCAGTCACGAGGATGGAGGCGACTTCAGCCTGCTGCCACTCAAAAAAGACCACGCCAGTAGACCACTCTGGATCAATCCGCACAACCGGCACATCATTCTCGAAGGTTTCAGTCCTATAGCGGAGCAAGCGATGGATTTCTTGGTCGCGATCGCTGAGCCCGTTAGCAGGTGAGTAGAGTGTATGCGTGCGACTCGACAGTGGTGTCGAACACGCTGACGACGCTCACTACGGGATATGTTTGCCACTTGTAGGCCTGCACATATACACGAGTATCAGCTCACCATGTACAGCCTGTTTGCTGCCGTCTCGGTAGGGCTGCAGCCGACGGACATCCTGGAAGTGTTGAACCGTCTGTCAAAGTCTCCAATCCCTCAGTCCATCGTGGATTTTGTTCTAGACAACACCAAAAGCTTTGGCAAAGTCAAGCTCGTGTTGAAGCAGAACAAGTACTTCATCGAGAGTGCACATCCCGATGTACTTCGAATGCTGCTGCGGGATGAGGTGATTGGCAAGGCGCGCATCACTGAAGCCGAGCGGAGCCAGCAGCAGAACGGCAACAATCGGCTAGAGGTCTTGGGAAGAGCAGCAGCACCCAGCAGAGGCAACCTCGTCATTCCTGGTACAAGTGGTGCACGCCAGGCTGGGCAAGGCGTGAACGGATCCGGCGGCATTGTTCGCGAGCCACCAGGCACGAAGTCTGCGGCTTCGAATGCCGCGGCCAATGCAGCTGCGGCGTCCGGCGATGTCGGCGCTGCTGGCGGCACCCTCAATGACGCTGACCTTTTCAGCAGCATCATTGGCATGGATGACGAGGCGGACGGACTAGGTGCCTCCGGCGGGAACGAGGACGAGGAGGACATGGTGCACTCGTTCGAAGTGCGCGAAGAGGCGACGGAGGAAGTCCGAAGACGATGCAACGACATTGGCTACCCGATGCTGGAAGAGTACGACTTTCGCAACGACCACTCCAATCCGGATCTGGAAATCGACCTCAAGCCCGTCACTCAGATCAGACCTTACCAAGAAAAAAGTCTGTCAAAGATGTTTGGAAATGGCAGAGCTAGAAGTGGCATCATTGTGCTGCCCTGCGGTGCTGGAAAGACTCTAGTGGGCATCACGGCTGCTTGCACCATCAAAAAGAGCTGTTTGGTGCTTGCAACGAGCTCCGTCAGTGTGATGCAGTGGAAGCGAGAATTTATGCAGTGGAGCAACATTCAAGACCACCAGATCAGCGTGTTTACCGCAGACCAAAAAGAAAAGGTGAGGCTTTGGTGTGGTACGGCCAGAAAGTGTCCATGCTGACGAGCTCCGTCACACAGTTTACGAGCGCCGCGGGAATCGTCGTGTCCACTTACTCCATGGTAGCAAACACGGGCAAGCGGTCGCACTCTTCCCAGAAGATGATGAATTTTTTGGAGTCTCGCGAATGGGGTTTCATCCTGCTCGACGAAGTGCACGTCGTTCCAGCATCCATGTTCAGGCGGGTGCTGACCAAGATCAAGGCGCATAGCAAACTTGGTCTGACAGCGACGCTGGTCCGAGAAGACGAAAAAATCGACGAGCTAAATTTCTTGGTTGGGCCCAAGCTTTACGAGGCTAACTGGATGGACCTGGCTGCAAAGGGTCACATTGCGACTGTGCAATGCGCGGAGGTGTGGTGCCCCATGACACCAGAGTTCTACAGAGAGTACCTTCGTGAAAAGAGCAGAAAGAGGATGCTGCTGTACTGCATGAATCCGAACAAATTTCAAGCTTGCCAATTCCTCATCAACTACCACGAAAACAGAGGCGACAAGATTATCGTCTTTTCGGACAATGTATACGCCTTGGAGGTAAGTGAGATGCTACCACAGCCAACGAACGCGTGCTCACGCAACTTTGCATGGTTCCATCTTCTGGTCCAGGCCTATGCCAAGAAGCTCAACAAGTTGTTCATTCACGGAGGCATCCCTCAAACTGAGCGCATGCGCGTGCTGCAACATTTTCAACACAACCCGACCATCAACACCATCTTCCTGTCCAAGGTAGGCGACACGTCCATCGACTTGCCGGAAGCAACGTGCTTGATCCAAATCTCTAGTCATTTCGGTTCGCGTCGTCAAGAAGCTCAACGGCTGGGTCGTATTCTGAGAGCAAAGCGCAGATCCGAAGATGGCTTCAATGCTTTTTTCTACAGTCTAGTCTCGACCGACACCAGTGAGATGTACTATTCGAGCCGAAGGCAAGCATTCTTGGTTTCTCAAGGGTATGCGTACAGGTGCATCACCAAATTGACCGGTCTGCAGGAGATGGATGACCTGATCCTCAAGACCAGAGAAGAGCAGATTGAGCTCTTGCAAAGCGTCCTCATAGCGAACGATTCGGCGGCAGATGTTGGCAAGGATATGGCTGGTGCAGGCGGCTGGGAGGAGGAAGGCTACGGTGGCGCTTCAAGCAGTGGCAACAGGCGAATTGGCGCTGCCCCTTCCTCGTTCAAAGCGAAGCGCTCGACGGGTACCTTGGACGCGCTGTCTGGTGCAGGCACCATGTCCTACGTGGTGAGTACGGCCTCCCGGCCCTTGCGTGTCGTGGGAAAAGCCAGCTGACCCTTTGCCCTACTTCAAACGCACAGGAACGCAACAAGTCTGCCAATCGAACTTTGGCAAAGGAGAGGCATCCAATTTTCAAGAAACATTACAACCAGAAGTGATCCAGGATCAGCAGAAATTCTCATCGACTCCAAATGTAATTGTACGATAATCCACGAAAATCTTTCGCATTGAAGTTAGAGTCTGCCGTGCCGCTCGCGATCCCCACCACGACTCCCCTTTTTTTCCCCGTCCCACGAGTCAGACGCAGAGCTTCGTGCCACGTCAACTGCCCGCCCTTTCGTAGGCTCGCGGTATCTGACTTTTCCTCAAAGTGGAAGATGAAACCCAAAATGAAGCGGCGGATCTGCTCTTGATCTCTTTCTGTGATGTCAGCGATCCGCCCCGTCATTTGCGTGCCGATTAAGCCGGACGAATGTCGCGCACTTGTGCTGGTGCTCCTAATTTTGGCGAGAGCTGATACTTGGAGCTTCATGGCTGTTCGTTGACTTTGTGCCGCAGACATTGCTGCTCGAACGAGATTGCAGTCTTGTCCGCTGTGTGGACTGGTGGATCTTCCCGGATTGCGAGGGTCATATGTCCAAGGTTCACGTGTGTGAGACCTGGGCGCTTTGCTCCAGCGTTCGCCCCTCGGCATGGATGCAGGTATTTCTCAATGACATGCAGGGTCCACCAGCTCCTTCTTTTCGATCGAGACGTCTCTCTCTCTCTTTCAGCCTGGCGTGTAGAAATGATTCCGTCGCAGGCAGACCAAGATTCCGTTTCGCTGCGAGCGCGAACACTGATCCGCCAGCACTGAAGGACGTCGACATGAAAACGGAGACGCTCAGATCCGCTGCCCAAGCCGTGCAGAGCGGCATGGGTGCCTTGACCCACTCGACCATGCATCCATTCGCACCTCTTTCCAAGGTGCACACCGGTTTTGACACCTACCATGTCGCAGCGCACAATGGAACGCAAGTCGCAGAGAGCTACCATACCTGTTCGGGAGGGATTAGAGCGGTGGATGGGCGGGAATGGCTGTGTGATCAGTCTTCGTCCCAGCTCAATGCCTACTGCCAACTCTCCAAAGTCCGACTCTGCGCTGCCCAGTGCGACTTCTAGGATCTCTCAATGTCTCATCTACGCTTCGCTCAAGAAAGATGTGGAAGTTGCTAGGGTTGGAATATGTCATCAGTGAAGATCTTCTCGAGAGGGCGGATAAGGAGGGGATAAAGTCATGTCATCGCACAAGCACGAGATTGAAAGTGAAACACTGGCTGCTCTAGGACCAGCGGGCCACTCAGGCACAACTCGGAATGCGGCAGGGGAGCAATGCAAATTATTATGCGGCTTCACCATGGAACGATCAAGCCCAGATGACTGCTCTTCACAATGACGCCAGCATAAGTGAGAGGTAGGCATTTGCGTTGTCCGCGCAAAGCCTTACACAAAGAAGGGATTATTTTCCACATTAGACTCTACACACTTGATATCCGTCTGTTTCTGCATTTCCGCTGAGGCTTGCCGACCGACGATGATGGTTTGCAAAGCAAGGTCGAGTCTTGCCCTAATACTTCTCTAACAGACTCTGCCCCGTGCCGCGCTTAGTTAGGTACCTTTAAAGCTCGAGCAATGTCTGCCCGTCTGCGATCCGATTCAGGAGTACTATCAATTGCGCGAGCCGTGACAACGAATACAACAGGTTGACAAAGATGCACATACTCTAGAGACGTTTGAAGTGCGGCGCGGTGACTTGATGCGCCGCAACGGCCAGGAAGTCCATTCAAAGGAGCGAGCAGTCGATCATCTTCGGTTTTCTGGCGAGAAGGAGGCATGATGGTGGAGATGTGAAGGATGCGCGCTCGAGTTCGAATTCGCGCGGGCATGGTGCCCCGGTGAAGGAGCCAAAGGGGCGGGCGAGGGCGAGCCGTGGCCAAAAGAGTGGCCATGATTGGGCATGTGAAGAGATGGAAGGTTCATCTGCGTGCTTGATGGATTGCTCCCCTGACCATATCCATGGCCGTATCCATGGCCAGGTGCGCTAGCAGCGGGTCCACTGCTGGTAGGCGGACCAAACCCAGCCTGGGGGTTGGATTGAGGCATGTTGTAAGTCTGTGCAAGAGCCGCTTCCCACTCGTTGGCACCCCAATCCGTGAGAGCCACTTCTCCGGGCACTGCAGCTTCGGAAAAGACGGTGGAAAAGATATCCTCGTCTAGCAGGTTGGTCAGCGATTGGCCGGCAAGGTTCAGAGGCGGGGTCAGGCCGCTCGCGCTGGCGCCAGGATTGAGTCCAGGCGAGGGCATGTTCCGCGTGTGCAAAAGGCCGCCAGCGGCTGCATAATTTCCCGTGCCACCGCCATTGCCGTTGCTGCCGTGTGGGCTGCCAATGACCGGGTGTGACACCGGTCCTTTGACCCAACTTCCGGCTCCGCTCGCGCTTCTTGCCCGCTCGCCGCCGCTGACTCCATTGGAGCTCGACGTTGTGCTGCCTCCCCATGGAGAGAGGGGACCCGGAGCAGCAAAGCCAGAATGTCCAGTCGTAGTAGCGACTCCACTCCCAGAGGGAGCAGCGAGCTGCCGAAGAGACTCGTCAGAACGTGAGACGGACACTGGAAATTGCTGCGTCGGTCCGCTGCTCGCTAATGGTGAGCTGAGACCAGCCGGAAAACCAAAGCTGGGACCAGAACCGCGCGCAAAGCTCGTAGAAGTGGATCGACGCAGGTGCGGTGAAGCTCTGTCGAAAGACATTGGCAGATCCTTTTGCAGTGCAGAGAGTGAGGTGGCCGGTTGGCTCGTAGCATCTCCTAGAACGCGCGCGACGAGGTTGAAAAAGGGACCGCGGCCTCCTTCATCCCCATGACCAGACTTTTTGCGCTTCGCGTTGGCACCCTGAGTCTTTGGTCCTCTACGCAGCTCCACTTCAGCTTCCAAAAGCTACATGAGAGGACGCGAAGATTAGATGTCAGCCAGATTGTGCATCTGACGCCGGAATGTACCACTCACACCTCTGAGTAGAGTTCCAGTATTCTTTGCGCCCGCGCTCAGATGCGAGGCCGTACTGCAAATGTCTGCGCATGAGCGCCGAGGTCGTTTGTGAGACGGTGAACAATGTCGGCACAACACGGAAACTGTTCGCATCCCCTACTCACCGGCCATTTCGTTGACTGCAGCCCGCTTTGCTTCCGCTTCCTCGCTATCCTGGTCAGTCTCGTAACACAAGGCAAGAAAGACGACGACGGCAGCTCCGAATCCATAGTACACATTAATCCACATCTTGGGATAGCAAAGACAGAGTTGTCAACCGAAAGGTAAGACTTCCGACTTGCCGGGCTCAGTGAGGGACCCACCTTGAGCAACATTGGCGCAGCTCGTTTGGCGTGTCTCAAGATGCGCAAGATTGCCTTGGAAGCATCAATGCATCGTCGAGCAGAGACCGTGGTCTGATCCTTTCCAGCCAAGCCCTTGATGAGATGCGGCCGATGAAGGCGCAAGAGTCGATTGTGTGCGGTCAAATTTATACTGAGCAGTTCCAGATCGCGCTGCGACATAGCAATCGGAGGCGAGTAAGAGACACCTTTCTTAGAGCCGAGAGGCCTCGGCAAAAACGAAACGTACGTTTGTGTCTCCAACGTTCCAAACAGACTCATTGTCTTCTATTCTGAGAGCGAAATATTCTGGCAAGCTTTGCATCAAGCCGAGCAATTTCTTGTCCATCTCCATCACCTGAGCGTATGTAGGACCGCCACGCTGGTGCGTCAAGTCGATCGTCTCCCGATACAGCAGCAGGAATCGCAGGCGGAATATTGAAAAGCTTGAAGTCTGCAGTAGAGAGAGAGCAATGCGTACAAGAGTCCCATCTCAGACACAAACGCCGAGAGATAATCTCGGAGAGAGCTGCTCACCGTGTATTCGCTGATAGATTTCGGCGCGGCGTGCCCTTCATTGTTGAGCGCATCGTCATCGACATTCATGGGCTCGGCGGTGGCGTTGTGAGCCGGCAAGATCGAGTAGCAGCCGCCATGCGAGAGAGCATGTGAGACCTGCGCATCGTGTGTCTTCGCTGCTAAGTACTACGCGAAAGCGGTGACTGGGTCGGCGACTTGGGAGCACTGCACTTACATCAAGCCAGGTCAAGTACCACCACACGCGCCTGCCTATCTCTCGATCCAACGTATTTGTGAGCACGGAGAGACCCTTTGCCGCGCTGCTTGTAGCCGCTCCTGATCGATTCGTCGCGACGACGCGTGGGTCATCGAGCCTGTTCAAACGCAAATTTTGCGCAATCTTGATGCTGCAAAGACGCGTGAGGAGATCAGCCCCTTGAGCATCCGCAGCAGCGGTCAGCTTCTTCAGACAACAGGCTCTCAGCGAAAGCTCACCTAGCACCAACGAGCGCCCAAGCAGCGTCAGAGTCGTCCAGATTGTACGCATAAACAGACATGAGACTGCGGCGAGGGTCAACGCGAGTGTCAGCACTTTGGTGCGCGTCGCGTCGGACCATGTGACACGCACATGACGGCCTGAAGATGCTCGACCTGGTGACTGCCAATGAAATCGCTTGCCCACAAAAGCTGATAGGCTCCCGCATTGAACTGGTCGCAAAGCACTGCAGCTTGCGGTCTATCCATTCCCCACTCCGCAACCTCCTCTGGACCGCACAGGTGCAGGGCCAAGCAAAGGACCAAGAAGTGTATGCAGAGGCTCGCCGGTCTGATCCTTCTCGCTGCTACTTCGGGAGGCAGCGAAAGGAGACTTTCCGAGACCGCTTCGACAGACGAACGATGCAGGACTCGTGTATACCAGTCCAGATGATCAAAGTAGTAGGCGACCATCCGCCGGACTATCTCTGGTGAAGGAGATAGACACAAGATTCGGTAGGCCACTGCCGGAGCAGAGTCTGCTGATCTTTGCGAGAAGCTCGTCGTTGGCGAATGCTGAGCATCGTTGTCTGCACCCGCACCGCCATTTATCTCGCCCAAACCAGCCTTGTCCGCAGTATCGCGCGCAAGCGCACCTTGAGCGCCCACAAGATGAGGCAAATCCGAAGGGCCTTCAAATCGAGACGTGATGTCGTGTCTCGAGCGTTTGCCTCGACCTTGAGCTGCTCCGTCTCCAGATGCCAAGCGCGCAGCGGCGTGCGTCGTATTGATGCGATTGCCCATGGCATAGCTGAACAAGAAAAAACAAAGCTATCAGACTCTGCTGCAGCGGGGACTCGGCCACAGCCGCCTGCCGAACTCACTCTTCCAACATCATAGCGGCATCTTCGTCACCCATGTCGCGTTCCCTTTTGTGAGCAGCAAGAGGTACAGCGCCAGGTGCTGGGTCGCCCGGCGCAAAATTCCCGAGCGCTTGAGACTGGGCTTGAGCTTGACCAGAGTGCTCGTGCAAAGGCACCACACCACGCGGAGGGGATCGCTGATCCGTCTTACGAAATGACATGTGTTGCGCGTCTGCCCCGGCAGAACCTGACCTCGACGGGCTGCGCGACGACTCTTCCTGGCGCCCCTTGGTATCTGAGTTCGGCCAGCGCACTGGCCTTGCTGGGCCGTTGACATCCTCAAGCCCCTTTACTCTCCCCTCTAGCTCGCGCACGCGATTTTGAAGCTGTTGAAACTCTGTCAAAGAGCAGCCTGCCTCCCAACGTATGACCTGCTTGCACTTGCTGCCCTCGTTGCGCAGTAAGCAAGGTCCACACGGACACTCCCGATCGCCTGGACGGGATAAACACGTACGGAACATCTCAGCGCGAGGACGCACAAGCGCCCCGGGGGGTAAAAGAGGAGCTACTCACATTTGATTTTTCGCCTTTTGCCTTAAGGGAACAAAGTAGTCAGACTTGAGTGTCAGCTGATGAGTCGGGATGCTACCGAGATGTTCATCGGACCAGAGCATGCGTTGAGCGCATACATGCGCGCGATGTGCCTCAGTGAGCCTGTTGGCTTTCGCGATCGATCGTGCTTTTGTAGCCTCCAACCATATGCCACCATTCTCTCAGTCGTTGCCGCCACTTACATTCGGTGCAGCTCAGCATGCGACCTTTGGGCCCGTCTTCCTTGCCATCGTTAGAACCGCCTCCGGCCCCGCCCATCGCGCTACTTGCTGCGTCATCGTTTTGAGCAGCGGCATCACCGTTCGCGGGCAACACTGCAGGTCGTCCGGGTGCATCTTTATTCTTGACATCCGGGCCCTTTCCGCCTGGACGAGCGCTAGACATTTTGCGCGGCAAGGGGGTTGCTTTTGCGGGTGCGTGAGGAGCTCGAGTATGCGAATCGGAAGTACTGGACGGTCGAGCGCTGGGTAGACTGTCAGCTGAGTGCAGAGTGCGACTCGAACTGGAGGACGCCTTGTCGGACATGGTCGCCATGTCCGAGTACAGACTGACGAAGAGGATGATGATGTTTGATGGCTTCAAAAAACGAGCATGGTGCCGCTTTTGAACGACTCCTAATAGCTACTCTCCTATAGAGTCCTTGTTCCCTGTGGCACAAGTCCGCGGAGCATACAGTGCCGCACCAGACACGTGCCAGGACACTTTGCAAACCTATCGTGGCAGTGTTCGGATGTTCCGATGTGAGTCCGGCAGCACGCAAAGGGAACTTGCAAGCGTGGCATGCGACTATTCTGAACGTGGAGCGTAGCAGGTGTGTGGAAGAGCGCAAGAAAGCCTCTATGATCAGCTTGAGGGGCCAGTGTCCAGAAGAGAGCCGATTGAGAAGCGGCAAGACGTACGAGAGCGCAGCGAAGGCGCGGTTTCATCCATCTCGCATTCTGTACCGTACCGGTACGGGTACCGGTACCGTATCGGTGCGCGCATGTATGGACATGTGGGTTCCGCGCCGGCCCTTTCGGTGTGCATCTGCTGCTGCACGCACATTCTGATTGATGTTTGCAGTCACGACGAGTGCGCAGCTTGGGATCAGTCGTGTGCCGCAATCACGAATCGTGCGTGAATCACGAATGCGCGCAAATGTCTCGCTCCACGGAACTGAAGCTTGGCTGCTGCTGCTGCTGCTGCTGCACCGCCCGCCTTTCAGCTTGAGGGCCGAGATAGCGCAACTTTCAGGCACCATGTCGAGCGACCGATCGAACGGTGCGATACGAGCCAGCTCTATATAGCGTCACGCTGCTTGCTGCACACGAGGGGCATTCGAGCACGCGGACAAGCCCCGCAAGGACACGGCGGAAACGCGCAACGCCGGAAGCCCAGAAGAAGAAAGATAAACGCAAACTCGAGCGCAAATCTTTGTTAATATGAATACCGCGTGAGATAAGCGATACCTACCGCCCGCCGTGCTGGTATATATACGTGGGTGAGTCACGAGTAGCCTCTCATCTGGACGTCGTCTGGTTTCTTCCTTTCCCATAACTTGAATGTCTCTATGCGATCCCATTGTGCTGCCCATTAATCACTATTCACTTTCAAGTCTTGAATTGTGGGTCCTAATTTGGTACTTGCGTACAGATTTTTGTCGCGCCCTTTAAGCCGATGTTGGATCGTGCTCGCTTTGGAGCCAGTGCTGGACCGACGCTCGGCCCAGTCCTGTGTACCGCTACAACTCGTGTACCGGTACCGCTACCACTCATGACTTGAGCTGCGAGGCGTCATCCATCGGATTCACAAGCCACGAGTGTGTCGTGGATGATGTTTTGCGGCCAGCATCCACCTTCCCATATATGTAATCACGAGGGGCTGAATTCGTCTATCTCTCTCGGCCGAAAGAAAGAGCTCGCAGAGCATTGCCCGTGCCACCGCGCCTGCACGCACGGTTCACCAGCAGCAAAAGCAAGAAAGAGCTCAGTGTAGCGCGCGACCTCGACCAGCATGCATGCAGAGACGCGTCGTGCCTTGGTGGGTGGGTGGCTATACCAGTTCACACATCTAGGCTTCGGGCGCATCTTGGCTGATGGTGGTGCCTTCCACACCATTTCCCTCATTGAAGGCATACAGGCCTCAAGTTGCACAAAGATTTCACGACCGCATCGCGTCTTACCCAGCCAATTGGCGAAACAAGATGGCAGAATCGAGGCGAAGAGCAGAGATCGAGTCCAAAAGGGCCAAGCTGGCCGAGCTGAAGAGGGCCAGAGAAGAGAGGGACAGGAGGATAGCTGCTGGTCGAGGGGAGAAAGGTTCAGAGGTGAGAGTGTGCTATACGGCCAGGCCTGCTCTTCACGCTGCCTCTGACGTGTACGCTGCTCGGCTATAGGCGAGCACTCCATCAGCCCGGAAAGATCTGGACGATCTGGTCGCAACTCTGGTAGGCACTTCGGCCAGCGCCAGCGGAGGCAGATCAGGATCGAGCAGCGCTGTAGGACGTATGCCATCTTACAGCACTGCGGGAGGTGAACCTTCGTCTGATGGTGCGACTGGTGCAGGATTAGCCGTCAATAGCGACAGTCCGGGCAGAGGAGGCAGATTGTCCACCGGTCCCAGGGCTTCGAGCGAATATGGGAGTGAGGCGATGGGCAGAGAAGACGGAGCAGAAGGGTGAGTGGGGCTGAGTATGGCTGGCTTTACAGGGGCATTGCGTGCTTAGCACCCATCACCTCGGTCTGCATCCTCTCAGATTGTATGCCAGGACGCCTCAACTCATCTCGGGCGCTCAAGAATTGTTCGAGTATCCTCAAAAGGAGAGAGTGTATTATACCAAGGAAGTACAGACCACGTCGACTTCGACGGACGATGACATGGGCGAGAATGGCTTTGTAGGTGAAGGGGCTGGCGGCGCTGGGGGGGAAGCGCGCATACCTGCAGCAGCGGAAGAAGCTTTGAGAGCGAAAATCAAAAAGGAACTGGAAGAAGCTCAAGAAGCGAAAGAGGCGGAAGAAATGAAATTAGAAGAGGAGAGATTGGAAAGAGAGATCGAGGAGGGCCTCAGAGGTGAGCATACGACTTTAGAGCTCGTGCTAACATAGACCTCCTCAAGACCCGTTGACGCCATCTCGTGCCTTGCGCAGAGCTTTCATCGGCGGAACTCAATTCGATCTATGGAGCGCAAGACTTCACCAGCTTTGTGCAGACCAGCTCCAAGATTGTCGAAAGAGCCCTCACAGACGCCTACGACTTTATGAAGGATTACACAAAGGACGAGAGCGGAGTTGGGTGAGCAACGCACTTTCGGTCTCGTTGCGCGCAGCACAGAGATGATAACGTTCTCTCGATGCCTTGTGACAGGGACGAAGCGGAAGCGCGCCAAGTGAAGGTGGTGCGGACCTTTTGGGATGACAAGCTTTGCCGCGGACGGAGCGTCACTGACCTGGACTGGTCGGCCAGAGTGAGTCGTGCGCGACCTTTGATGCTGTCGAAGATGCCTTTGGCGAATCTCTCCCTGGGCTCCTCTGGAGGTCGTGGCCTGGGTCTCGCAGAGGACCACAAGTGAAATCCGACATGTGAAGCACAACGGAACCTGGGTTTCCTTCATCTGTTACCTGGATGTCAATCGTACTCAAATCGTTCTCGTCCCGTGTTTGCAGCACCCCGAGCTTAGCGTTGCCAGCTACAGTCGATCTGACGCAATCTCGAATGAAGACCCGGATGGCGTGGTTGCGGTGTGGAATATGCATCTTGCAGACAGGCCGGAGTTCGTCTTTCACGCTCAGGTAAGTTGGTGCGCAGGCAAGGTCTGGTAGGCTCACGCAGAACGAGTCACCCTGACGAGCTTCAACACCTCTCTTGACAGACGGACGTGCTTTCGACCAAATTCTCGCCCTTCAACCCAAACTTGGTCGTGGGCGGAACTTACAGTGGACAGATCTTGATCTGGGATACTCGAAGCGGCACATTGCCAGTCCTCAAGACGCCTCTCTCAGCTGCTGGTCATACGCACCCAGTCTACTCGTTGCAAATTGTGGGAACCCAAAACGCGCACAACCTCGTATCCGCGTCCACCGATGGACTAGTGTGCGGCTGGATGATGGACGTGCTAGCCAAGCCATCGGAGGTGCTTGAGCTGCTTTCGCCTCATCACACCAAGACTGACGAGGTGTCCGTTACCTCTTTCGGCTTCCCGGATCAAGAGACGGTTGAGTTCCTGGTGGGCACCGAAGAAGGCCACATTTTTCCTTGCGCTCGCTTTGATCGAGCAAGCGGCAAAGCTGGATTGAACACTTCTTACGTTCTCAAAGGTCACGCAGCACCTGTATCATCCTTGCATTTCCACCCCCTCTACGGGCCAGTGGATTTCTCAGACTTGTTCCTTAGCTCCAGTATGGACTGGACTAGCAGACTGTGGAGGTTACCTGGTCAATCGGCCGCTGCCGCTGGGGGAGCCCCCACTGCACCTGGCGTGTCTTCGCTAGGCTCCGCTGCCGGTTCCTTTGCGTCTGCTGGCATTTCTGGCGCATCCTCCTACAACACGAGCATCGTTGAACCGGTCACGACGTTTGAAGAGGCACCAGAATATGTCTACGATGTCAGGTGGCACCCTACACATCCCGCGGTCTTTGGTCAGGTGGACGGCGTGGGCCGTTTTGATCTGTTCAACTTGAACCAAGACACCGAGGTGAGCTTTATGGCGTCTGTTGTTGCATGCCGAGAGTCGCTCCTTACTAAGTGCTCTATTGCCCATTTGCAATCTAGCGTCCCATATCGAGCACCATCATCGGAAACGGCCGCGCGCTGAACAAGCTGGCATGGGACAAGAAAGAAGGCAAAAAGGCAGCAATGGGAGGCATCGATGGTAGGATCTACATCGCCGATGTTGGCACGCTGGCCCAACCGCGCGAAGATGAATGGATGACCTTCCAGAGGACGGTGGCCGACTTGTTGAATCCCGACAAGCAAAGGGGCATTCCCGAAGCCTTGCCCGCATCAGCTGCCGATCGACCTTACCGTTCAGACGCGAACGAGACCTAAATAGCGACAGCTCTGCAGGCCTCATTCTGAGCAATATACCAAGTCAAAGATTGACCCGCTGTGGGCCGTTGAGCTGCGCGACGAGGGGCTCGAGGGGACAAAAGTACATGCATTGTTTGCAGAGTTTGAAGCTTCGTACGCAGCTCAAATTTCGCCCGCTTGCTTTGCTGCAAGATACTCTTCGTGCAGCTTGATCTGCTTTTCGTGTTCCTTTTCCAAATTCTTTCTGCGCTTCTTGGCGAGTTCCTTGCCTTCCTTGTCATGAGTAGGGATGCCCTTGTCGTCGAATTGCGCGTACTCCGACTCTTCGACAGGAGCACCAGAAGATCGTCTGAAGAGCAATTCCGGAGCTATGCTGCCCTTTTGCAGCTTTTCGATCCTAGCAGCCTTGGCTTTTTCCGCAGCTTCTGCCTTTCGTGCCACTTTATCCTTGGCCGCTTGTTCCTTTTCCGCTCTGGTAGCTTGCAATTGCGCAGCAGGCACGAGTTTCAACATAGCTTGACCAGACTCTGTGTCTTCCATCGCCACGCCAAGATCTACCATGTCTACATCACGAAGCTGATCTGCCAACTTGAGCAGCTCGGCGCTTGGAGCGTCTTCTCGCGCAAGCTTTCGGATCGAGTCTCTGAAGCCGGATAGAGCTTTGAGATATGGCATGAGGATCTCCTCGCGCTGTCGAAAGCAGGAGTGGAAGCCTGTCAGTATGTGCGCTTTTGGCAGCCAAAATGAATGCATCACACACAACTCACGTCCTCGCTCGAGTGGAGCCCATCGGCAGCTCCCGGTTCGGGAGACTCTCCCCAGCCGATTTGTCCCTCTCTCCTCGGGCCTTCACCCAGACCAAACACGAGCAGCACATCGCTGACCCATCGTGCGACGCTCTCCAAGATCTCGACGTTGAAATTCTGCGGCTTTGCGCTTCTTTCGTACACATTGGCCTTGGAAACAAGCTCCAACAAGATGTTGATACCGCTCGGAGTATCGAACGAGTCGCACATGGCTCTTCTAAAGTTTTGTTGCGCCGCAACGAGCGAGGTGAGAAGGTCTGCTTCTGCCTGGGAGAAGTGTGCTGTACCGTCCGAGTAGGCTAGACCCCGGGACCGGGCTTCACGAACATGAGACCTGACAGTCGCAAAGAAGTTCTGTAGCGCAGGACAAAAGAATCGAGGTCAATGAAGATGGTCTTCGCACCTTGTAGCCACGGGAAATGTAGCTCACGTTGAAAGTGGTCTCCGCATTCTTCACTTCTGCCATGGCACTTTCCCTAAAGTCCATTTTTGAGCTCCAAAGTTGCAGCAAGAAAGCAAGCCTGAGCCTTCTGGGAGTGTACTTTTCCAAAGCTTCGTCAATGGAGATGAAATTTTTGAGGGATTTGGACATTTTCAAGCCCTCGATGTGCAAGTGACCCGTGTGCAAGAAGTAATTGATCCATTGACCACAGCCGCTGTGGGCCTGAGCGCAAGAGCGGTGTACCAAGGTCAATGTTGCACCTCTCCGCTGTAGCGCGAAACGTAACGAAGACGAGAGACTCACCTCGCTCTGCGCCAGCTCGTTGTCGTGGTGCGGGAACATGAGATCAACGCCGCCCGAGTGAATGTCGATCTGGGTGCCGAGCACTTCGGTAGCCATCACTGAGCACTCAATGTGCCATCCCGGTCTACCCGAGCCCCATGGGGAAGGCCAAGCTGGCTCGCCCGGTTTAGAGCTCTTCCAAAGCGCAAAGTCAGACGGCGTCCTCTTGCCAGAGACTGTCGAAGCGCCAGTAGACAGCGAGCCTGCACGATGCGGCAATTGTCACGTTATCGATGGAACGGGTCAGCCGATCCCCACAATCGAGGTAAAGCGCTCTGCGTGCTCACCTTCGCCCTCTTCCAGTAAGGCCTTATCGCCCTTGCTCCAGGGTGCCAATTTAGCGTAATGATGTTTCTTCGCTTCTGGCGCAGCATTCGCCGCTTTAGAAGGAGCCCCATCGAAAGCCCTAGTATCGAACCAGACGTTGCTCTTTCCCTCTCCCGGACTAGAGTCCGCATAAGCGTACCCATTATCCACGATTCGCTTGACAAAGTCGACGATTCGAGGTACATACTCGGTCACCCTGGTCACGAGCGTGGGCTTCTCGACATGCAGCCGCGTCATGTCCTCGTAGAAGCGACCTTCCCAGTACTCGGCCAAGGACCGGAAGATGCTGTGATCTGAAACGCTAGCGCCCTTGGCTGCGTCCAACCAGGGTGAAAGGACGTCTGCGGAGGCGTCGATGAGCTGCTTGGACAGCTCCTCGGTGGTCGGTGTTGCAGCGAGCGACATGGCTGCTGCTACTTGAGCTTGTCGCGATGAATCCTGTAGAAATGGGGCATCAAGTCTGAGCGAAGAATGCCTCGACTTCTCACTCTTTCCTCATCTTTACTCCGACTCACGAGAGCAGCAAACCACATGCCGAGCTTCGGCTCCTTTTCTGTGTTCTCCCTTCTCCACTGCTCATCTTTGTACAGCCTCGAAACCTCCTCCCACATAGCCTCTATCAAAGCCGCACCTCCCAGCTCGTTATCCTGAGGGGCCGGGGGAGGAGCAAACCTCTTCAAAGTCTTCTCAAAAAACACTCTCCAAGCTTCTTGAACCTGTTCCAGCAGCTCCTTTGTCAGGCCACTGGCATGCTGCTTCTGAAGTTCGGATAGAAGGTGCACTTGTCGAGCTCGGACTATAATCTTATCATCGATGTCCGTGACGTTCTGAACCAAGATGACGTCGTAACCAAAGTAATCCCTCAGCAGCCTACGAATGATATCTTGTGAGACGTAATTTCTGTTGAACACACAGTGTGGTATGGTTGGTCACTCCGACCTCGGATCTATCTGAGTTGCGAAGGAGAATTCTCACCTGGCGTGTCCCATGTGACTGGCATCGTAGACAGTAGGACCACAATTGTACCACGTAACAGTCTTTCCTTTCATGGGAACAAAGGGCACTTTGGTCCGAGTCAACGAGTTGTAGACATGCAGCTCTGGGGCTGCATCGTTTCCTTGAGGGTCAGGTCGGGTCCAAGGGGGTTGGACATTGCGCGCAGCGGAGCCAGAAGCGTAAGCGCCCGCAGAGGTCGCAGCTGCGGTCGTCATGTTGGATGCGCAAGCGGTTGTATGCGTTCTGCTGAACTGATGCAGCGATCGAGTCGAAGAAGACGAAGGGTGTACTGCAAGAGTACGTTTCAGTCGTGATGGAGAAGAGAACAGCCGAGGGTAAAAGCTGGCAGTGATCCTCGCAACCATGCGCGCAGTAGGCCTACTCTGGTCCGTGATCGTCTGGCCTTGACTCGTACGTCTGCGTGTTCCCTTGGAAGATGTGGCTGCTTTAGATTCACTCGTCAACGTCGATTGGAGGACACGATCGCCGGACTGCTGAGTCGCACGCGAGTGTCTCGCGAGTGCGTGGAGTGTGTATCGAGGTCAGATGTGCGAGAGACACTCTGACTCAGACTCAAGACTGAGGCTCGAGTCACGAAGAGGTTTATCGAGCTGCGTGCGTGTGTGTGTGTGTGTGTGAGAGAACAGAAGAACGGACCTGCTGCATGCACGCGCGCTCTTCGACGCCCTCCTGCTGCAACGCGCCCGCGTGTGCTTCGTGTCGTGCGCTGCTGCTCGATCGCTGCCCTGTATGCCCCACGTGATCTTTAGCGCACATTCTCGGCGTAAGGGGGTCGCACCATCGACCTCGCAAAGCCTCATAGCACATCACACTGGACTAATTGCTTTTCAAATCCTCTAGACAGCCTTCAAAAAGACACACATATCATTTTTAGCAACTCGTGAAGCGTCAAAGGGCCCTAAAGAGAGAGAAATTAGGAAGCACTTTGGTGGAAGGAGTGCTCGGCTGAGAAGACATCTTCAGAGGTGACACAACCCAAATGACGAGCAAAAGAATTACACGTCGAGCGCTTCAACCTCCATTGCGGGACATTTCCTCGAGATACTGGCTCAGCTGCGTGAAAGAGAGAGGGAGAAAGAAGCACCGTGTCAGCCACTCGGCCGGGTCACGATCAGACGTGACATGTGAAGACTCGAACGCACCTTCATAGCACCAGCCCTGAAGCTCTCGATTCCGCTCTGCACGTCCGGATTGGCCATGAACTTGCCGTAGTACTCTTTGGCAGTCTGTTCGAAGTCACCGGCCCAGTCTCCATTGGCAGCCGGGGGAGGCTCGTCATCTTCATCGCGACCGCTATTTTGACGAAATCAATGGCGGAACGAGCAAGAGAGCGTTAGCTAGAATGGCAGGCCACCGGCACGGCCGTGCGTGAGGCAACGCACAAGTATTGGTTGGATGAGATGCTCGTTTGTCCAGTGAAGCCTTGCAACCTTTCACGCGCTTCTGCAGAGGCATTAGCATCATAATTGCCGCGCTCAAAGTACTGGTCCGAGGATATGGCTGAGGTGTGGAGAAGGGAAGCGACAGAATGGTCAAGATTTCAGTGATGAACACGAGACGCGTCCTCCTGGTCTACTTACATTTTTGGCCCGCAAACTTGTTACGCGCGTAGTCCGTGTCGTCCGCTACAAGACCGAGTAGGCTTTGTGTCAGAGCGCTGATCGTAATGTGAGAGGCACGCCGATTAAGCTCACCGGTGTAGCTGGCAAGTTTTGCTGCTCTCTCAGCATCATTCTGCGCCTTTACACGCTGAGCGCCCATCTGCATTCTTCCAAAGCCCATGCCAAGCCTTTCCATTTCTCCACTTGGTCTCACCGGGCTGTTGGGCTTGCCATTGCTAGCATTGGAAGTTTGACTGGCCTTTGCTTTGGCATCTCTCTCGGCCTGAGCAGCAGCCGCAATAGCAGCTTTGGCAATCCCTTCAGCTTCCGCTTGCTCCTTCGCCACCTTGGCAGCCGCCTCTTCCTCGGCTGCAGCTGCGGCTGCCAATGCTGCATCCTTAGATTCCTGCTCCTTAGCCGCCTTTTCTAACGCTTCAAAGTCTACAGCTGGGCCTCCTCTTTTCACGCCTCCAAGCTTCGAGCCGCCAGCTGCACCCAGCTTGGTGGCTCCTAGACCAGGCTTGGCACGCACGGCTCCTAGCGCTGATTTGCCGCCGCCGCCACGCCCACTGCCCGTGGGAGTGGAAGACCGAAAAGAAGACGAAGAGATGGGTTGAGGAGAGGGTGCAGGCTTGGGTGCCGCTACGGCAGGAGCGGCGGCTGCAGCAGCAGCAGGCGCGGCATTTCGCGCTGACTGAGAAGCGGGCCTGCCAGCTCCGATGGCTGGCAACGCACCAGCAGCGGGTCTGACAGCTTGAGCAGGCTTGGGCGCAGCGGTTCCAGCGGGCTTATCCCAGTCGTCGAAAAAGTCCTCATCGCCTGCTGCGCCGGCTGCGGCAGTGGTCGTGGTAGAAGCCAGAGGTCCTTCAGCCGCCATGCCAGGAAAGACCACTCTGCTTCCGATTGGTGCACCTCTAGCGTCATCTTCTGCTCTACGCTTCAACTCGGCCTTGTATGCGTTAGCTGCACCGGATGTATACTTGACTTTGCCTTCCGTGCCTGGAGTGAGAAGACCAGATCCGCCGTGCCTAGAAAAGAAGTCCGTTGCTGCGCCATTCCCTCCTACTTTCATCAGGCGCAACTGAGCCCATGTCCAGCTGTCCAAATTCGTAGATCTGTGAGGAGTGTCAAGTGGTGGATCAGCGGGCGTGACTCGGGAGGGCGCTTCGTGAGAGAGAAAGCTCACCGAACAAAGGTGATGTGCACGCCCATGTTGCGATGCACACTGCTACAGTCTAGGCAGATGTAGACCGCAAATGTGGCGCTTGCCCATGTCGGGTTCTTGGCCCCGCAGTCGAAGCATACCTGCAAGATTGGAAAAGAATTTGTTCAACTTTGGAGTCGCTCTCCAGCTGCTGCGCGACCATAGCAAAAGCGTACCCGGTTCTCCTTGCGGAGCGACTTGAGATGCTTGAAGATGAGGACCAGATCCTATTGCATGGACAATGTCGGGGGAGTCCAAGGAAGGGTGAGCACGCATGCTTGAAAGGCTTGGTTGTCTGCTTACGCTACTGACTTCTTTGGATGGGCCAACGTCGGCCATGGCTGACAGCTCTGCTAGTCGCGGGACCTTCAGTGATGAGAGTTTGGATGCGTAAACAATCTTTTAGCCTCAGAGCGCCGGTTTGGGTAGTGCCTATACAGCTGTTGATTTGATGTCAGATGAAGGAGCGCGAGTGGATGGACGCGATGGTGAAGGGTGAAGTCTTAGTCGTATTTGCTGATCCCACCGACCGTCCCTCTCCAGCGATCTGTTGATTCTACAGCAGCAGCGCTTATAAGAAATCACCTGTCGTGAGTCTTCTGCCTGCCTATACCGCTGCTGCAGCTCACCGAGTTTCGTGCACGCGCATGCACGAAGTCTGCCGCCGCGGGACGGTCGATGCTCTGCATGTGTGCGCGGCGCTTATTGGAATCACAATTAAGCTCCAATCGCGTGAATAATTGCAGGGTGGCGACGGGCGTGAGGCGTGGCGCAGTTGAGCTGTACACGGAGGGCAACAAGGGTACACGTGACAATTAGTGGGGATAGGCTGTGCAGGGTTCGTCAGGACAGCGAGGGCAAGCAACTTGCACTTGTATGAGCTAGCATGCTCCCCACGACTCGTCCAAGCGCCACACCACTGACTGCTCCCCATCTTCGCAATTTGCCGCACCAGGCTGGCAGATCACTCGCAGACACGCCCGAGATAGCCCGTGATCACGAGGCAAGAGTCACGAGAAGGTGGTACGCAGACTGCAGACGTGCAACCATGCCATCAGCCCCGCGCGGTCGCGTAAGGCCGCACGTCTCGCTGGACGCTCAGCTCCAAGCACTCACCCTCTTCACGGATCTGGACGCGGATTCGGAGAATTTGGAGCAGCTAGGTCCAATCATCAAATCTTTGGACGAGGCAGGTCAATCGGATGCCTTTTTGAGGAGGTTGCACGAATTTGTGAAAGAGAAGGAAGATGAGATAGAGAGGATATGCAAAGGCAATCACGAGGATTTTGTCAGCGCTACGGATAGACTGTTGAAAGTCAGAAGCGGTACCGTCAGTCTGAGACATCGGATTGGCGAGCTGAACGAAGAGGTCAAAGCTGGCGGAGAGAGCTTGAGCGCAAAGGTGCGTGTCGCGGTGCCAGGAAATCGTGGCTGGTGGGAATGCATTTGATGGCCGGAGTGCAGTCCGCTTCCATCTTATCAAATTCCTCCATTCAAACCCCACCTCCCCAGAAAAAATCACTACGTGAGACGAGACAGGTAGGGGCCAATCTCGACGAAGCGATCGAGACGTTGCAGCTCTGTCTGAGAGTGCTCGACATGACGAGCCGAGTAGAAGGTCTGATCGAGAATCGTAGATACTACGCGGCACTTCGAGTGAGTAAGCTCTCCATTGTGCGCATGCAACAAGTTAATGCATCAGTGAAAGCTCACTTATGGCCATCCTGTAGTCTCTGGAAGAGTTGCAGACGGTGCATCTCAAGCCCGTCTTGCATCACGAGTTCGCGCGGCACATGCTCGATTCGATACCCGCGATGAGGGATGCGGTCAGATCAGCAGTCACTTCAGAGATGAAGGAGTGGCTCTACGAAGTCAGGCTTAAAGGTGGGAAAGTGGGAAAGCTAGCCTTGGACGCTATGGAGGCGAGGCAAAAGAGGTGGAGAATCAAGAGCTCGAAGGATCCAATGCTTAGCATCGCCAAAGTCAACAGTCCAATCGAGCTGGTTGTCAACGAGCGCGTCGAATGTGAGTGGTGCTCTCAGTAACATAGGCCAGTGTGGATGTCTGACCAGAAGTTCACGGTGCATGCAACTCCCCGCGATCTTCAAGACAACTTTGTGGACAACGAAGAGGTCCGAATCGACTTCAAACCGTTGTATCAATGCATCTTGATCTACGACTCGATGGACATGCGCGAGCAGCTGCAGATGAGCTATCAGGAAGATCGCAGGGTGAGCTGTATGCAGGCGCACAGTAGAGTCTGGGAGCTGCTCACGCCATAAGCTCGCCCGCATGCAGCTGCAAGCGAGCCTTCTCCTATCGCAAGGTCTTACATTCGACCCCGTCAATCCGACTTTCCCGCTAGTCTTACAGGAGGTAGTCGGCTACTTTCTCGTAGAGCATCATGTCCTCCAGACTAGTTCGCCTGGTTTTAGATCCGAAGCGGAAGTGGACGACCTTTGGGATAACATGTGCGAGAGGGTAGTAGACATCGTCAGTGTGGGGCTCCGGGACTGTAGAGATACCCAGGTGTTTGTAAACACCAAAGCGGTCATCCAAACCTTTATCATGACGCTGGAAGTGAGTGAAGCGGCGGCGTTTTCCGGACACGATAGTCGGGATGAGCGGAACGCTTCCTGAACAAGAGCTGCCCGGCTCATCGCCCCGCGTACTGCTCCTTCAATGCCAGGGCTGCTCTTTCACCGTCACCAAGCTCAACGCTCTGCTGTTGACGCTCTTTGAGCGGTACGCGCAACTGCTCAGAGATCGTTTTTCGGCCGATTTCCAGCAGGTGAGTGAACGCGTCGGGGTCCGTTGATCGCAAAGCTCAAGGCGGGTACACCATTTCGCCCGGCCATGAACAGGCCGTCAAAGACGCCGAGCACCAGCCAATGGTTGTGGAAGATGCCGATGAGCTCAACAAGGTCCTGAATGTCTGTTGGCTGCGAGCCGGAGAAGCCGATAAATTGCGGCAGTGAGTCGAGACTGCGGATGCCAGATCCAGGCATGGCGAGAACAGTTTTGACGCGCCACGTCTGTCTTCTATCTCGCAGACGAGCTTTCCCCCTGGCGCTACCGTTCTCTCAGACTTATCCGCTTTGCTGCATGGACATCCGGCACTTAGTCGACGAGTATTACACCTTCTCCGACGGCTTTTCGCAGTATCACCGAGATATTGACGACATCCTCAAGAAGGTGAGCCAAGCCACGAGTCACGCCTGGCTCAGAGCTTACGCGCAGCTCTCTCATATTGCCCGTCAGTCGCTGGACGAGTTGCTCATTCAACAGGTCAGCAGCAGCATTCGAGCATCGGTCGAGTCTACGTCAAACCTTTCTCAGATAGCCCAGATCGTGGTGAATGCGGAGCACTTCAAACTAGCCTGCACGTCCCTCGAGGGCCTGTTGGCAGCTTTGCGCGCACCTCATCGAGGGGGTAGACTCAGATTGGATGCGTCGAGCCATTTCAGCCATTCCTTGGATTTGGCTCAAAAGAGAATCGACGCGGCCCTAGCTGCCAAGTTGACAGAATTCATTGGGATGAGCGAATTTGAGCCTACGCCTGCAAAAGAGGACACGACGGAGAGGGAATGGATCGGAGAAATGAGCAGATGGATAGGGACGATGATGGAAAGCGTCTTGGTGCTGCTGCCCACAGAGACCAAGCTGCTGCATTGTGAGTGGGTCGATGGCGATTCATTGCTGCTTGACACCCGTTCCTTATGCCGAGCTTGCGCTGTGCAGACCAATCCGCATACGCTTCCATTGCTTCCGTCTTGCTCGTGAGTCGCCGCTCGGGCCCGATACTTTATCTGAGATACTCCCACTAACACCCTTTTCCTTCACTGCCGCTGTCAGAACGAGTACGTTCTGGACAAGGACACGCCAGCGCTGAATATTTCCGCTCTCCGAAACGTGTTGGCGGATGTGGAAGCTTTGCGGAAAGAGGCGTCCAGAATAGACAAGAGCATTGACAAAGTGTTTGATGAGATTCGACAGGTGAGTACGAGGATGTGCGACGTGTTTCGCTTCTTGGCCATCTTTCAACGTCCCTTCCCACCCTGGCTCTTTCTACGAGATGGATGCTCAACATCAAATTTGCCTTGCGCGCAGACGCTCTCCATACCTCTGAACGATGCGGTGTCAGATTATGTGGGCGACGCTCGATCAAGAAGCTCAAAGTATCCAGCGGTTCAAGCGGTCAAGTTGGCTGGTGTGCTGGAAAGGTTGACCAAGTGGCATGCGGGTAGAGGACCGAGCGAGAGCGACCTGATGAATCGGAGAAGCAGAGAGAAGGATATGGTGGGGAGATTGGTCAGGAGGTAACAATGAATACCCTGTTGCACCGTCCCAGACTACTTTGACTTTCACTGTAATAGTAAGACCTAAACAGACGCAATCAGACCGTTAAAATGTCTTGATGGGGCCGATGCCTTGGGGGCTGCACGCACAAGAGGCCGCCCAGATCATCGCATTTCCAGACAGGGAGTTCAAACGACGCACGAGAAGCCATCTCAGCTGGTGTCTGCAACCAAGCCCCTCAAAAGTTTCCGCCCCCGCTCTTCAAGTCCCTGCCATCGTTCATTCCTTTGTGGCGAGCGTGCCCTCTTCAGCAAGCGCCGTCGTGACGTCCTTGACGCCCGCGATGCCTGTCCTGCTCAGGACTTGCAAAGCACCTCCGGGCAAGCTTTGCAGCGCCAAGAGCTCCGCTCGACTTTTCGCGAGCAGATGGCCCGCGTATGCTTCGAAGACCGATGCGGTAAGAGCGACGTGGGGGAGAGGGAAACGAATTCATTAGCAAAGGCTCGTTGTTCGGTTTCTGAAGCTTGCATCGTTCACGATGCTGGCAGGCTTGAGATGCCGCGAGATGGGAAGCAGCACGAAAAATTTGCACGCGAGCGCGCGCCAGCTTGGTCGTCCAAGCAGCACTTGGACCAACGTACTTCGCCGCACATCGAGCCTTAGCGCCGACGCAGAACTCACCCATGGAATTGATGCTCAATTCCGCCTGATGCTCTTTCCCATCTTCTTCCACTTTGAGCTCGAAAACTTCCTTGCTGCGAGGAATGAGGTGCATAGCTCTGGTGCTCATCAAGAGGTTGTAGCTCGGTGGTCCATTTTGGGTCGCTCCTGATTGCGAGGGGGACAAGGTACCTTGGGAGGAAGAGGTTTGTTGATCGAGGGCTGCAAAACGGGCTTGCTGCATGGCTTCTAGCAGACCAAAGAGTTTTCGCATCAGGTACGATTGCAGCGCGCCGCTTTGAGAGGATGAAGGAGGAGATAGAAGAGCTACAAAGTGCTGATAAGGCAGTGGAAGAGCGAAGACCGTGTCTATGTCGAGTAAAGATGTGAAGGATGAGTGGATTGACGATGCTTGCGCCTGCACACACACAAGCTCACCATCCTTGCCTTGATGCTCCTCGACACAGAGACTCAGCAAATTCTCGATGGGAACTCTACCCTCTCCCCTCTCTCCAAGCTCCTCTTGGCCCTCGAGTCCGCTGCGCAAGAACTGCACATGACTTCTCCTTTGGCTAGCTCCGCTCAAATTTCCACAATTATAAAATGCGAACAATTCACCATCCTTCTCCCGCTCACTCTCCGCGGGAGTCAGTGTGGAAGTGGAAGTGGAAGTGGAAGTGGAGGCGAAATCAGAGGAGAGGATGGTGTGTGACTGCGCATCTTGACGCAAGATTTGGTAGGTCAAAGCCAGCATGCCAGGCGTCGGCGGCAAGTTTTGCGAAGCGAATTCCTTTGGGACGAGCAAGAAGTGTCTGGGTACCAGAGCGTACTTGTTGAGCAGGACGACGTGGGATTCGTCGGACCAGACAAACAGATTGGCATCATAAGGTGGCGCAAAGACGTCTTTTCCCACCGTCGTAGAGTCGACGCTGCTTGCACCTTCCGCCTGCGCCTGCGCTTGCGCTTGCGCTTGAGCTTTTGCTCGCGCCTTCTCCCCGAGCGAAGGTACGCAACGTACTCTCCAGTTCACGCCGAGCCTTCCGACTTCGCCAGCCCCGTCCCCTGCTTCTGACGGCGCTGGTCTTCCGTCGGGCAACAGCACCAATGTGCTCGAAGGTCGCACTACGCTTCCGCTCGACGTCGCTCGTATCCACGCCTCATTTAAAGAATTGAAGAGAGAGGAGAGGGCTTGAGGTTGGATGTCCGATGCGGACAAGCTGGAGGAGGACATTGTTGAGGACTGAGGTCACGAACTCGTGGCGCGCGCGCGCGCGTGTTTGCAAGTGGGAAATGCAGGACAGACGCTTCTCTGAGCTGAGCTGCGTCGATTCGAATAGAATGTGGCCAGAAAAATCTGTTTAAAGGTTGGCAGTGAGATGAGGTGACCGACGTTCAGATGATTGTGAAGAAGAACCTGTGTGCCTGCCAGGGGAGAGACAGCATCAGCCATTCACTCACCACGACGCACCATCCTCGGCCAATTAAGCGCTCGCGGCCGGATCTCCGCGGAGAAAACTCTCCGCGCCGCGGTCTGATTGTGCCAAACGCGGTGTGCACGCAAATTCGCGAGTCGGAGTCGGCTTATATGTATAGATGCTTTATATACCTCCTCACCACTTCCGGCACACTCTCCCCCTTCACAACGCTTTGATTGCGCTTACGCAACTTCAATGCTTTTTGCTACTCAACGCGACTTGTCTCGCTCTGAACATGAGCGACCATCTTGACGCCTTCCCAACGAGACGCCTAGGGTCAGGCAGCTAGCTACACAAGAAGGCCTGCAGCCCTTCGGCTTCCTTGGTCCTTCACTCTACACTTCACGGCGAGCGGTACAACGTTGGCAAGCAGGGCGATTCTCGGATAGAGACATCACATCTTCGTAACAGTACCCACGCCTCGTACTGGCTCAGTGCTACCTGGCCCACGATGACATCGCCCGCTCGATCTGGAGCGGCCAGCCTCGATCGCTCGTCCGCCACAGACTCGCCAGGACGTCGGCGATCGTCTTCTCATCAGCAATCGCGGCCGCGTCTGGCCTCAATGCCCGTCACTTTGTGGGTTCACGAGCCACCCAACTTCTCTTCAAATGATGTAGTCATTCACCCGGACGTCATCGCACGCTTTGGGAGCGGGAGGTTGGGCCTGAGCGAGGGGGAGCTGTTGGAGGTGCGATCTTTGGGATCTAGAGGGGCAGACAAAACCATTCGGGGCAAGCGATTCGTCTTCAAGCCCATCGACGCTTTGCCCGATTCTGAAGTCCGCAGCAACACTCTGCAGCTGAGCCTATCCAAGCCAATCGCTCAACTGTACGGCCTTCACAATCGCTCCGACGTCCTCTTGTCAAAGGTTCCAAGAGATCCTCACACCATCTCCCACTTGGAGCTCTATTTTAGGGATCAGTATGTGGGCAGAGCGGATATGTGGAGATTGGCAAACCAGCTTGAAGATGCGTGCGTGTATGTGGGTCAAAAGATCACGCTGGCGGGCTGCGTGCGCGCTACGGTGGGCAGAATATTCATCAAAGAGAAGAAGGTGAGCTGGTGGTGCGATGAAGCGGCTGAGCATGGAGCATCACGCCTGGATATGCTTGCATGCTGATGCGAGCGCCGCTCGGTGCGTGTATGCAGGTCACATCGGGCTACATCGCACCCCACACCCGCACGATCTACAGATCCGAATCGGCAAAGTATAATCTGCTCATCCAGCTAGCAAAAGAAATGTGGGAATTTGACGAGGATGGAGAGCTCTACTATGAAAAGGCGATCTCGGGCTTCATACCAGAATTGGTGCGAAAGTGGAAGATGGTGCCCACGAATCACGTCGTCTCCGTCGTGCTTTTCGCTCGCGTTCATTACGACGCCTCTGAAGTGCACATGCTACAAGATGCCGACCTACCCCTGCAAAAGGAAGAGGGAACAAATGGACGATGGTACATTGACTATTACAAGACCATCGTGGACTTGGAAGGCAATTGTGAATGGAACAAGGTGCTGACGGATCTGAAGGAGGAATTTTTCAGGTTTCAACACGACATACTGTTGCTTATCAGGCCTGTTGCTGGGCCTGCTGGAGCACCCGGAGCGGAGGATCCTCAGGCCGATCTCCTACGTCGAGATCGGGCGCTGCTAGCAGGCAGACTCAGCGCATCTCACGAAGGAAACATCCTGGAAGCCGTCAACCTGGCACTAAATCCTGCCGACGCTCATTTCGTCGATCGGGATTTGATGAGGACAGGCTTCGACATTGTCGTACTGACGGCTGGTACGGGCCACTTCAAAGTGAGCAAGAAGTTGTTGAGATTGACGACTGAGAGGATGATCGACAGTGGCACGGGACTGGACTTGGTTTGCTTGACCAAGATGCCGCTTCATTCCGTGCCTTTGTTCCACTTCGAGAGCGCTATTCCTGATCAGTCTCAAACATCCTGGCCCAACTCGGTCCCTGCACGCGGTAGAAGGGCTCGCAAGACGCCTTCGCTCGCTCCTTCCAGTGGACCGCCAGACCCGCTCTACTTTGATCAGCGACATGCAAGCATTCACACGCACAGCTTCTCGACTGGCGTGGGACAGCAAGGCGCCGCTTCAACAAACCAGGCGAGCATGGACTTCTACAGCATCCCTCACTGGGTGGACTGCAGCTTCTACAATCTGCAGCAGGACAAGCCTTTTCGAGCAGACAGGTTCGTGCCCAGGTGCAAAATGCACGAGGTTCAAATGATGGGGATCATGGAGAATGAGATTAGTGATATTTGCTTGCCATACTTGCAATTGGGCGGAAATGGACTTCAGCAGCTTGGCCCGCCTGTGGGGATGGGCGATGCAAGAAGATCGAGCATGAGTGGTCCCACGAGGAGTGTCAACAGCAGCGGAGCGGTCTCGAGCGCTGAGAGAGTGGGGACCACTGGATCGCTACTGCCTACGCAAGGCGCTTCCAGCAGCGGTGCGCAACACAGCGAAGGAGCAATGAGTGCCGATCTCTCCCACCTACCTTCACGCGAAGTCAAGCGGATCCTTCGAGAACGTTTTGATGCGGAAACCATGAGGGATTTGGACATTGCACCGAGCAAGGTCAGATCTTCCATGGTGCTCGCCTTCACAGGAAGGGCACCATCGGGTTTGACGCCGATGGGTTCCAGTCCTTCTAGAAGTCTTACGCGACAGAGGAGTGGAGAGATGCTGGGCGTGGGTAATCCCACATCCGCTTCACCGGCCAATCAAGGGCCAGCGGGACGCGTGGCTCGCGTGGGCAGGGACGCGCGCAGAGGAGCAACACTGCTAGAGGCGCATGACGAACACCCTGACGATTCGGCTCACGAAAGAGGTCCACCGAGTCGCATCGAAGGACTCGACTCAGAATCTCCCGGCTCGACCGCAAGCGCGAGAAACTCCAACTCAATGAACGCTAGTACGGAGAGTCCGGCAAGGTCGACCTACATGAGTAAAACGACGTCCAGGCCGACTTCTCTTAGAAGTGTGGCTACTTTTAACCGAGCAATAAGGCCCCTAGAACCTGTCGGCAAAGCACCCGCTTGGGTCGCTCCCTCAGATCCGGATCAGATGCACCTTGAAGACATGGGACCAATCACAGCCGCGCAGACTTTGCCTCCCTCCAGAAGCGCGTCCGCAGTGCTTTCCCAGCAGCAAGCGACTAGAAGCAAGTCGAGGTATCGTCTGCCCACTCATTGGCTGTGGTCTTCACTTAGAGGTGCTCAAACGGAGCAACGCGACCCTGCATCCGCAGGAAGCGTAAGAAGCGCTTCCAGACCAGGCTCTTTGTTGTCGACGGAGCAGAAGGACGTGGAAACTTCTGCCAGCGCTTCACGACGAATCGCGGCTTTGCTAGCTAGCTCGACCGTCAAAGGCTCCGACCAGGACAGAAATTCCTCAAAGACCGACGCGGATGCTGATACAGACGTGCTGCAAGGGGACAATTCTTTGAGCGAAGAACACGCGCAAAGCCCAATTGCTATCCCTTCTGGACAGCATGGTGCGACCCGCGACGGACACAACACCACTTCGGGCCCTCCACTGACTCGTACAACATCGACCGGGGCTGACTCGCGGCGAGAGCGAGAGATATATGAGCAAGCTTTGGAGCAAGAAGTAGCGCGAACAAATTACGCCCAGCAAGCGCAAGTGGAGAAGCAGACACTGGTCAATCCTTCGAACCCACAAAAGAGCTTATCTGCGAACAAATCCTCGACGCAATTGATGCGGTGGCAGCATCTGTTCCCGCGAAGACTCAACAGACACGCGGTCAAGTGGCGTAGCATGACGAGTCCTGCATGCTTGCCGCTGACTACGCTCTATTTGCCCAGCGAGGTAGATCTGGCCAATCAATGGCTTGAGTATCCTTATACGATGTCCGTGGCGGCAGACACCTCGAGCTTCATGGTCAAGCATAACCCGTCGACCTATCCGGCACTGGCGGTCTTGAAGGAAATGTCTTCTCAGAGACTAGCTCAGGGATTTCAGTTTATAGTACCTGTCAATGCAGAGGGACATGGCAGCAGCGCAGGACGAAGTATCAATGCGTCTGGCGGCCGTTCCGCTTCGGCTTCGCTCAGACAACCATCGGAACTGTTTCAACCTGGCAATCTAGTCGCGGGAAATCCGATCTTCCTAGGCATGCCCAATCAGATACATAGGATATCTTACGACAGATCGATGAGCGCCATCCACGTCAAACGCTATGTCAGGAAAATTGAGCACGATGCTTCACCCATGGATTACGCATGTTGTATTTGGCCACGCGATGTGCCATGTTATCAGACGGTCAAAACTACTTTTCACTATCCCGACTTTGGAGCTTACAATTGGACCTACTTGGATCAGATCATCTCGGGTCATGCAGAGGAGGAAAAGTTCATCGATGGGTTGAGGTATTGGAGAGCCAGATTCGTCGTGGTTCCCACTGAAGGTCCGGCGCCTACAATGAGGGCAGCTTCAGGAGAGCAACTGGACGATGAGGAAGTCAGACTGATGGGCATCGATCGACTAGCTGACCTATTTGCTCGTGCAAAGTTGAAGACGATCAACAGAGCTTCAGGAAGGGAAGAGAGGAGCTATTCGAGGTTGAGGTTCATTCCTACCAGTCTGGATCCTTCGGCAAGCTTCAATGATGAGCAGTTCATGAAACAAATGCTGGCTGCTGTAGCTGAAGATGATCAGAGTTTGCAAGAGAACGAAGCCAAGAAGCAGAGGAACAGCTCCGCAACTAGCAGCACATCCAGATCCAGAAAGAAGATCCTGGGCAATATGGACCTGAGAAGTCTAGCGACAGAGATGAGGCACGAGACGGAGAGGAAATTGATACATGATAGGTACTGGCAGGCCATCCTGTACAAAGACTCCTTCACTGGTGCAGACTTTGTGACGTGGCTCTGTCGTAATTTCCAGGATGTGAAAACCAGAGAAGAGGCGAGCAATGCCGGGAGCAGGCTGTTGAGAGAAGGTCTATTCGAGCATGTCAACAGAGCGCATGGGTTCTTGGACGGCCACTACTTTGTGAGTACAATCGGTCGAAGTGCGTCTGAAGTCAAAACCTCGCAACTGATCATGATCGACGAACGCAACCTTGTTGCTCAGTATCGCTTGCGACCAGAGTACACTGCAAGCAGGGGCAGCAAATGGTTCGCTGCCTCATCGCGAGAGGGCTCGGATGAAAGCCAAGGCTTGTCCGCAAGGGACAGTCGAGGATCATCAGGCCACTTCAGCAACCTCAGGACCCTAACCTCAGAAAGAGGTCGCCATCACCGTGGATCTAGCTCAACGGCCTCCATTGGTCAACCTGTCAGCCTAGGCCGCAAGCTGGTCAAATTGAGTCGCACGCACATCATAGACTTGGACTCTCAACGCAAGAGCGATCGGGCAGAAGTGGCCTTCTTGCATCACGACATCGCCCACAACCCAGCGAATGGTTTCAATTGCCAAATTCACTGGTTGGGTACTACTGCTAGATTCATCGAAGATACTGTTCAGACCTGGACAAGGACGGTGGAGCGGTATGGTCTGAAGCTGATCGAAGCACCGATCGGACAAATTGCCGACGTCTCCTCGCGCAACCCATTTCAAGCTCCAGCTCAAATCTTCCTGGCTTTGCAGCCTCCTCACTCGTCCCTCTACTCTTTCATGTTATCTCCCTTCTCGCACGCGGAGCACTACTTCGAATGGGCGCTTCTGCGACGCTTCGGCTTTATTCTGGATCAAGAAGCCAGCGATAGATTTCCCGACGATGTGGATTTCGTCTACGATTCGAGACCCAAGCATTTCACCTACAGCCAATTTGTTCATAGGTCCGGCGTAGCTTTCGTCCAGGTGCTCGGAGGAGCAGAGGGCTTCTTGTGGCTCAACAATCGGCTCTTCAACTCGCACGCGGCTGCCAGCAGCAATCAAAGCAGAGGTCGGCAAGAAAGGGATGGACCAGGTAAGGTCGGATCAAACCGCGAGAACTCTGCAGCGGGCACCGCAAATACGCCCGATGCCGACTCTGTGAGAAGAGACTTTGAAGCATTCTGCGCAGACTCGTTTGCGCTCGAAATGTTCTACCGAAGCACCATCGCTCACCTGAGCGCCGCGGCGGGAGGCAATCCCCCTTTCTCCGGTTCGCTAGATTCGCAAATGGGCGCCAAAGTGGAGGCTTTAGCTCACAGGGGCTCATCTCAAAGAGCACCGGATAAGACTTCAGCTTCTTCTTCCTCTTTGAACATTCAGAGAGATGCCAACAGCGCACCACGTAGCGAAGCAACATTCCCGGGCGTTCAGAACGCGCACAGTGCTACAAATCTCGAGCCCGTACTCGAGGGTCGTACATCATCTCGGACCCGCGCAGACGTGTGACTGAAGCGCGGCGATAAGAGTCACAGCAAAAAGGTGCTAGCACTTCCTTGTACATTATTTGTTTGCTCCAAAGTCATGCATGCACTTCTTGCGCCCTGCGCCTTCCCCTTACTTGAATTCATCCCTGCCCAACGCCAATTTGAGCGCTTCGATAGCCACGCTGAAATCCCTGTCCTTGAACGTTTCGTTGTCTCCCAGAGCGGAGTAGATGCTAGCAGTGAGCTGACCGAGCGGCACCGGCACGCCTCGTTGCTGAGCAGCCGACATTGCCAAGCGCAAGTCTTTGGCTTGTAGTCTTAAGAGACGCAATGCAAATTGTCAAGGTGTTGAGAGTAATCTTGTCAGCTTGATCAAGAGACATCGCATCAGATGGACGCCTTACCGAGTTGCGAAACCGCCTTCGTAGTTGCGATCTGCTGGTGGACTGTTCTTCGTTCCGCTGAGAGCTCCAGGTTCGGGATTATTGATTTCGGACGCCCAGCATCTTCCGGTACTGGGGAGGCGACAGACATAAGGTTCGGCCGCACTTAAGTCAACTCATCGTTGTCAAAGCACACGGAGCGGAGACCGGCAGACGCTCGTGGGAAGAATGCTCACCTAGTGTTCAGAATGTGGGCCAAGACTTGTGGATTCAGACCATGAGAAGTTCCCAGGAGCATAGCTTCCGAAACTCCTAGCATAGAGATGCCGAGCAACTAAAAGAGCTCATGCAACACGCATCTGGGTAAGCAACGCACACCACATCACGTGTCGAGCGTATTGCGAACAACGGAGCAAAGACTGACCAAATTGTTTGCGATTTTTGCGATCAAGCCGTTGGTGTTCTTGCCGCAATGCACAGTCCTGCTTCCCATTTTGAGCAGGGTAGGTTCTGCATCATCAAATGAAGCTCTCGAGTCTGATCCGACCATGAATGAGAGGGTTGCTGCTCTAGCTCCGACCACGCCTATGATTTTCCAACGTGATTTGCGTGCAGGGATGTACTCCATCATTAGCGCGTTCCCCACACGTCGCGATAAGAAAGAGAGGCACCGGACTAACCTCCAGAGACGGGCGCATCGATGTAGTCCCACACTGGTGCATCGCTGGAGCCCTGGCTGCCACCTAGCCGTTTAATCTGGCTCGCCACGTCGTTGGAAGCTGCTGGGTCCAGAGTGGTACAATCGATGCACAAAGTCTTGTTCTCCTTCTCTTGAGGCTTGCCCAAAGATTGCAAGCCTTCGATGATCCCTCCTTCAGCCTGATACACCTCTTTGACCTCTGTGAGTGCGATGGACCCATAAGGAAAGCATTCTGGCTTAGCATACATTCGCACTACTCGGCCTCCGTTTGCGATGCAATGCTACGCACCCGGAGAACTGGGCACCATGGTGACGATTGTACCTGCCAGACTGGCCACTCCGGCAGGCGAACTAGCAGGCACAATATGCCTTCCAGGAAAGATGCTAGAGTTGCTGGTCAAAAACCTAGTGACGCTCTGATCCACCGTATCGTGCACCACGAAAGATGCGTTGGTGTCTTGAGGTAGCGATTCGAACGTCTTGGAGAGGAGGTTGAACGCCATTTCACGACCCATTGCCTGATGCCGTGGAGAGCATTTCGAGAATTGAGCGGACATGCTACATGTGTCTATGAGAAGGGGTTGGTTTGAAGTGACCACTCACACCCAAACCAATGAATCCGATCGTCTTGGATCGATCCCTCCCCACCGACTGCAGCAAGCGACTGGTGGACAACATCTTCTCGCTACCCTCGCGAGCAGGTCCAGCACACGCACGTCCCTTTCAAGACACCCTTATGTAAGTAGATCTGGGTCCAGGCGGGTGTTCGCCTCGCGTGATGCAGTGTCGTTGGCAGCGAGTGCGTCGTAGCTTCACCACCATGTGCGTGATGGTCTTGCAACTCGACTATGGAGTGATGGTCTGATTGCAAGTCGCAGGACCAGTGTCGACTCTGACGAGTCTCGAGTATGAGCTGCTGTGTACTGGACTGTGTAGGTAGGTAGGTAGGTAGGTAGGTAGGTAGGTACAGCTCGTTACACTTTCCCCGCAAAGTTGCGTCTTTCTGCGAGCAATGCCATGCAGCCTTGACCGCGCACAATCAAGCAGCGCACGGCCGCTCGTTCCGCGGAGAAAGAGTCCGGAGTCAATGACGCTCACGTGATGTCATTCGGATAAAGCGGTCAGAGGTGACGGTTCGCGATTCTTGATTATTCAAGATTGCTGCGCGTCTCGAGTCAAAAGGCCTATCGGTGACAGCATGTGCAGCATGGCCGAACAAGCGCTTCTTAGCGTGCTTCTACAACATCCCAATTTGTGGGGTAAGTAAAGTACATATTCGTTGGGGGATAGCCTTGCGATCTTTGACAGAGCAGATCACGAGCCAAGTCAAGAGTGCCAGGACTTCTCTAGTCCTGTGTTTCTCGGTCTTGGTTGTGAAGCTCCCGCAAGACGGGTATCGTTGAGGGTTACGACTTGCATATCATTCACATTCGTGATTTGTGTGGTCAGGCAGCTGAAGTCGCTGGTGTCGCATAGGCTCTGATGTACGATTGTTACTTGCAGTGCAATGTTTTGATTGTCGATGGATGCACGGCACTGTTTTGATTGTCGATGAATGCACGGCACGGTCGCGAGTCGTGGGCTTTCCATGACTCTTGTGGCTATCGCTTCTCGTCTCGGAGAACGCTCCGCCATCGGCATCCATCGCTATGTTCGTTCCTCTCTCTTCGCTACTCTCGTGAACATTCTCACACTCCCGCCGCCTTCCTCTTTCTTGCACAATCAACTCCTCGTGGCTCATCCCAACACTCGATTGGACCCTCTAACATTTCGCAACATGAAGGTCTCTTTCACTGGCACGGCCATTCTAGGCTTGCTGATCTCTTCGATCCACTGCTCAGTGAGGCATGAACTCGTGACCAATTGGAGACATCTGCAACTGCTGATCCATGTCCTGCTATCATCACAGCCCATTGTCAACGCTCTATCAAGTCCGAGCATCTTCCCTCGCGCTGTGCCATTGCCAGGCAAAGATGGCACTTTCACCGACTCAAAGCTGAAGATGAGGAGCGCCATTACTTGTCCGAACGATATAAAGGGACGTAAAGGAGGAGTGGTGTTGCTGGTCCACGGGACAGCATTGGATGGTCAGAACAGCTGGCCACAGAGTCCCTTCGTCCAGCTCTTGCCTAGTGCAGGACCCGGCTTTGATGGTAAGCGAGTCTCGTACAGCGGCAAGTCGGAGCAATGCTGGAGGGGAAGCACGGCGATGAGCTTGTCGAACCTGACGCACAAACACCTGGCACTTTTTCCTGCATAGTCTGCTGGGTGACGCTACCCAACAAAGGCTTGTCCGACGTACAAGTGGGCGGAGAATACGTGGCCTACGCCATTCAATTCCTCTCGCGGCGGTCCTCGACGGGCAAAGTGTCTCTTGTCGGCCACTCCCAGGGTGGCGGTCTAAACATTCCCCACGCGCTCATCTACTTCCCAACAGCCCGTTCCAAAGTATCTTCCTTCGTAGGACTAGCTGCCGATTTCCACGGTACCACTTTATTGCCAGACCCCGTGTGCGCCGTGCAGACCATCCTCAGTGGCGGAAAAGGCTGCAGCGCTAGCTTTTTGCAACAAAAGATGGACAGCCAGTACTTGAAGGCTCAGCAATACTTTATGAGCCAGGAGATCGTCCCGTGCGTAGAGTGCCCTTGCATCCACGTACGCAACCGTCTGCTGGAGCTGACGGGATGCGTTCCTCCACAGCACGACGAGCGTCTTCACTCGTGCGTCACCGTGCAAGGCATGGCAGCAGCTCCCCATCTCCATTTCCTTGCTGACTTGCGTCCGCCTCCACTCGTACGCTCACGCCTGGGCTGCGCGCTTCAGGAACGGATGAGATTGTGATTCCTCAAATCGGTCCCAGCACCTCGTCGCGTCTTCAAGGTTCCGTACAAGTGCCGATTCAGGATTTCTGCGGACCTTTAGCAATAGCGGACCACCTGAGCATGCTCGCAACACCCGTAGCCTACGCCATGACCCTAGCCGCCTTCATCTCGCCCACCGGCAAGCCCAACTTGAACACGTTTGACAAGAATCAATGGTGAGTGGCTAGCAGGCGCGCGCTTGCGTCTCGCGATGTGCCTCGTCGTCGGATGACGTGCGCTTGACATCGAGCGGAAACAGAAACGTCTTGACCCCCTGCCCCTTGCCCACTGGCCGCAGCTATAACCTCACGAATGCCAATCTCAACTTGGACGACGTCGTTCCGACTGTGGACTTCGTGACCACCTTGGTAGGCAGCGTGGCCGGTAGCGGTGGCGTCTACACCAAAGGCGAACCACCTCTCAAGCCCTACATCTGCCAGAATGACGCACCAGTGCGATGCAGCTGAGCAAGGTGCTCGATTTCGGCTCTGACCATCCCAGGCATCTCACTCTTCTATGCCGCACCTTCTGCTCCCAAAGTCGCCATCAGGCTCCCAAAAGTCGCGAGTCCGAATGCAATCAAACTTCATTTTTTGGATCTCCTCCTTTCTGAATGACATCGTGTACGGCACATCAGAAGGGTCTGATTGTCGCGCCAACGCTCAACACTTCTTTGGCCGTGGCAGCAGCCCAAAGAAGTCTTGTGCGTGTCCCCTCCACCTCCTCGCCCCGTCCAACCAGCTGCGCGATCTCGTTCTTCTTCGCGACGTGCGCATCGATAAAGTAAAGCAGACCCTTGCTTAGATCTTGATTGCCCACAGTCCCAGACACCAAGACCTCCTCCAGTGCCTGTTGATCACCCGCGCCCAAAGATTTCGTCTTGCTCAAAGATAAAGATGGAGCGGACTTGATGCGCAGCGTTTGTAAAGGCGACGGGACTTGGGTGGAGAGCAGGACGTGTGCGAGCAAAAGCTGAAGGAATCGCGCTCCGCGAGGTTTGAGAGTCGCAAAGCCGACCGTCTGCGTAGGGCGAATGCGATGAAACGGTCAAGCGTGAGAGGGCTGCACGTTGCACATGGCGCGTAAGAAGCCGTGGCAAGCTCACCTTGAGCACATTGAGGGTAAGAGCTCCCTTTGCAATCCACCATCCATACGCGCGCGCCAGATGAGCCATCTTCCTTGCGGGCATCGCATTGGACGAGACATCGCCATCCTCGTCCTCAGAGTCGGAAGCAGCGCCATCCACGATGGTCTTGCCACCTACGTGCTTCTCACCCAGACTTCGTAGGAAGTCCCACAAGCAGTACTGCATGGTGACTCGTGTACCCGGGGAGTCGGCAGCGAGCTGTACACCTATGAGGACATAGTACGGGTTGTAATGTGGCTCCTGCAGAGTTGCCGATCGAAAGGATGGCAGAATCAGCTTTCGGCCCTTGAAATGTGCTATGCTTGTGACTCACCGCGCCAATGCAATGCAACAAGACCCTGATGATCTCCCGGCGTTGAGCCTCGACGAGCTTCAGACTAAGCAGACGGTTGGAGGCATCGGCGTAATCCTCGCCGCTCATGATGGTGACAAAGATGTTTCGTCTAGCTTCCGTGTTCATCCCCTGCGCTCTAGCCAGTAGCAGCAATTTGGATTCTTGCGAGTCCTTGTTCGGCGCATCTTCCCTCAGTCGTCTGCTGGCAGTCACGCCCTCGGCAGATGCATTGCCTTCCTGACCCGCCCAAGCTGCTCCCACAAGCCACCATTTGCCGCGACTCTCTGCATCCTTGAGGTCTTGCAGGCCGATTCTGAGGGCATCATGGGAACGCAGCGTTCGAGTCTTTGATAAGCTAGAGATGAATTTGCGCAGCCTGTTGAGCGACTGCCCCGCTGGCGAGGACTCCAGCGCCGCAGCAGCTTTGGTGCGATTATTCTTCAAGTCCGACAGCGCCTCCAACATGAAGCGAACGCGCGCAGTGCTAATCGTCTCACTTTGGCCCGCCGAACCATCCTGCCTGCCACTCACGACTGCGCGCGCACCCATCGCAGCAGCTTTCTCCTGTGCAAGATGCACGATGGCTCTGAGCGCCGTCGGATCGTCGTGCCTGAGCGCTGCGCCGCATGACTTGACGAGTCTCAGCAGCAATTCCACATCCGCTTCGCCGAGTCTGCGCTCTCCCACAGCTTCTGCGTCGCTCAGAAAGAGACGCATAAAGTCGTACATGAGCGGGTGAGCCAACGATCCGAGATTGTACATTCCAGCCAGCAAGCCGACTATGTTTGCCGCCTCCTTGCTCGGAAGCTCGCCTTGACACTCCCTTTCAAGCGCCTCCTTCCTTGCTTGCAAAAGTCGATCGACTGCTGCTTGGAGAACTTGGGCTGCGAATTCGACGCCGATGATGCGATGAAGTGCGACGACTAGAGCAGCTTGAAGAATTAGGAAGGTGTCTATCAGATCTGAGGGGCTACTGACATTGGCGATGATGAGGTCGCTCAGGGTGTTGTTGACAGAAGCTCGAGGATGCGAGCGATACAAGCCTTCAATGTCCCCAACGATGCCCGCTAGGTTGCCTTCTGCGAGTCTGTTCAGCAGCCCATTTGCCTGTCTTCGCAGCCTTTGATCCGTCTCTGAGGAGCTGCTAGCCGCAGCAGCTGCCGCTGCACGGGCCGCGGGTGGCAGGTACTTGCCTGTGGGAGGCAAAGTAGGTGGTGGTGGCGGCGGCGTCGACGAGGCAGAAGCGCTCGAGTCGGTGCCTGAGGGTGCAGCCTCACCGAATCCCTCAAACGCGGCCTCCCCGTCATCATCATAATCCTCGTCGCCGCTCTCGGCGGTGAGGTCCAGCTCGTTGTGGCTGTTGATCTCGTCTTCCGTGTCCCCTTCGCCGCCATCCGAGCCATCCGCATACATGCCAGGGTAGAATCGATCGAGCTCCCCAAGCAAGTCTGGCCAGTACCAGGACATCGCGCACATAAGCTTCGCACCTTCTTCATTTACAGCGGATAGCGTCGGGACTTACCATCGAGGCCGTCATCCCCTCCGCCGATGCTCTCCTCGTCGTCTCTCTTTGTGCTCCCCTTAGAAGTTGCTTTCTTCTTTCTTCCGCCATCCAGGTGCGCTTCCAGCCAAGCGATCTCATCCTCCTCATCACGCTCTTGCTGGGTCATTTTGCGTCTTTTGCCTCGATGCGGATCTCCCGCCTCTCCCGAGAATCCTTTGCCACCTCTTGACGCAGCATCGCCCTTCCTCATAAGTCGTTCGAGGGCAGTTGACCTATCTGGTGAGACGCCTTTCTGCTGAGTGGAGATGCCGACCCTCGCTGCTTCCTCGCTCCAACGCCGTGGTCGCTTTCGAGCATCAGGAGATACCTTCTCTGGTGCTTTGCTTTTCGAATCTGACTGGTCTACACCCCCTTGCCTCGGTCCACCTTGACCTTTTTCGCGCCGAGTTTGTCTGCTGACGACTTTGAGACCCTCCTGCTTCTTGTGTCGCCCGTCCGACCTTTCCGCGCTTTGTGTAGCTCTCTGATGCCCCTCAAAAGTCCTGCTGCGGTCTCCTCTAGAGAGAGAACCTCCTCTGCCGCGCCTCTTTGAGGAAGCTGGGAGGCCTAGCTCTTCCCTCAACGCGGCGGGAAGCTGAGTAGTACGTCCAAGGACCATGTCGCAGTGCAGCGGATTGGGCAGCCAATCGCAGCTTTGCAAGCGCGGAAGGAATAGCTGCTATCAGTCACCAGTCTTGAGTGTGAATGACGCCTTGTCGAGATGAATCAGAAGCTCCTCGTGAGCCTATCAAGAATCTTGATCACTCAGGAGTTCAAATCAGGCTTGGTCAAGAATGTACGCAGCAAAAGGGACGTCTGAGGTGCATCGAATCCAAAATCACGAATCAAAAATCAAATCAAAATTCTTGATTTCGACGAAATTACGTTTGAAGACATGTCACGTGACAGGATCCTCAAACCGCAAGGGCAGCTATCATCGTGCGTAGCCGAGTCACGATCTGGACGAGTCAATCGTGAGTTCCGCAACCTTCCTGCACAGGTGTGGCTGCCAAGAAGACCAGCAGCGCTTTGTAAATGAGAGCTTGCGTCTGAATTTGCGGTCGTTGGAGCGCCATGCGCACATAAGCTGGTCCAACGTGTCCGAGTCAGGATTGAGGGGATGAGACCGCCAGGCGCACATGAGTCATTCTATCCAAAAAGAGGCTCACGGACTGGGCCAGGTGGTGAGAGCGATCCTCTCGTGATTGCTGTGCCCGGCACCACGCACCAGCAGCATGAATCGGTATACAATTCGCCTTCGTCATTCGTGGTGCATCAGACCGCGCGCCGCGCGACCGCAGAGGTGCGCGTAGCCGTAAGCGCGATTCACGATTCTGATTGAAAGAGATCGTGTGCTGGGCTTGGAATCCACGAACCGGTGCATATTCACCATCACCCCTTGATCCGTTCGCTCCATTGCCATAGCCATACCTGCAGAAAGAAAGAGTGGCTCTCTAGGCAATCTTGCTCTAGCTCAAGATGGCTTCCTTGCCCAAACCTTCCACCTCCAGGAACGGAGCAGACGTGACTGTTCTGCTTGGTTCGCAATGGGGTGACGAGGGTAAAGGTGAGTCGTATGCTAGCCGAAGCATGATGAGGTCTAGGTCTCTTCAGCGACTGAACCTGCTGCTTTGATGATTTTGCTTGCTGCGCTGCAACAGGCAAGCTATCGGATATCCTATCGGCAGAGATGGACGTCTGCGCGAGGTGCGCTGGAGGTAATAATGCTGGACACACCATCGTGGTCAATATGCCTGGCCCAGACGACAAGCCTGTCCGCACAAAGTTCGACTTTCATCTGCTCCCAAGTGGTGAGTATGAGCGCTGCACTCCGTCTTCATCGCGCCTTGCCACGAAGGCTGCTTGTGTGAATTGATTCGACCCCGTTGCATGCGCCCAGGCTTGGTCAACCCAAAGTGCGTAGGCTTCATCGGCTCGGGTGTGGTGGTCCACGTACCATCATTCTTTGCAGAGCTGGACGCGCTCGAGAAGAAGGGTGAGTGCGTCCATACGAGCTTCCCGCTGAACACCCCCATTGACGCTCTCCCCTTCTGGGCGGGATGCATTAGGTCTGAACTGTGACGGACGTCTGTTCGTGTCGGATCGCGCGCACCTGGTCTTTGACTTTCACCAAGTGGTGGATGGTCTGAAGGAAATCGAGCTAGGAGGAAGCAGCATCGGAACGACAAAGAAGGGAATTGGACCCGCCTACTCTTCCAAGGCTTCCAGATCCGGTCTGCGCGTTCATCACTTGTATGACCCAGAGCAATTTGCTGCGAAGTTCCGCAAGCTGGTCGAGGGTCGCATCAAGCGCTATGGTCATTTCGAGTACGATACAGAGGGAGAGATTGCGCGCTACAAAGTGAGCATGTGATCATGTGCTTGGCGTGCCGCTTGACTTGTCCTTGAAGCTGAAACGCTACACCCTCGTATTGGACAGGCCTTTGCTGAGCGTCTCAAGCCCCACATCGTCGACGGAGTCACTTTCATCCACCAAGCAATTTCGGACAAGAGGCGCATCTTGGTGGAGGGTGCAAACGCTCTGATGCTCGATCTGGACTTTGGCACCTATCCGTTCGTTACCAGCAGCTCCACTTCCATTGGAGGTGTTTGCACGGGATTGGGCATTCCTCCTCAGTCCATTGGCGAGGTCATTGGGGTTGCCAAAGCGTACACTACGAGGGTTGGAGGAGGACCTTTTCCCACTGAGCAGCTGAATGTGAGTTTCTATTCACGATAGGGGCCCTAAATTCTTCGTGTTGCGATTCCCTCCCGCCCCCTTCTACCTCTCTCAATGAAGAACGACCGGTCTCGCTGACAAGTGCTACCTTGATGCTGTCGCAGGACATCGGTGTACACCTCCAAGAGGTGGGTGCAGAGTACGGCGTCACGACGGGCAGAAGAAGACGATGCGGATGGCTAGACCTAGTAGTGCTGCGCTACTCGTGCCTCGTAAACGGCTACACTTCTCTCAACCTGACCAAGCTAGACATTTTGGACGGTCTGGAGGAGCTAAAGATTGCCACGTCTTATAGACTGCACGGCAAAGATCTTCAATCCTTTCCCGCCGATCTGGAAAGCTTGGCAGAGGTGGAGGTGGTGTACGAGACGGTGCCTGGTTGGAAGGAGGACATCACAAAGGCTACAAGCTTTGAACAGTTGCCCGAGAAGTGCAAAGCTTACGTGCTGCGCATCGAGCAATTTTTGGGAGTCCACATCAAATGGATCGGGGTGGGAGCTGGAAGGGAAAGCATGATTGTCCGCTGAGCTTCGGCAGTGAGATTGTGAGGTCATGGAAGAAAGTGGCGGCGATTGAGCCGCAATGCAATGCAAGTTATTTCGAAACATCTCTCATTGCGATCATAACGCACCACCTCATTTGGATGCACAGACGTAATCTCGCCAAGACGTGCCATCAAGATCATGTATTGAACGTGACATTTGGAACGCTCTATCTGCGATTTTGACAAGGACGTGTCTGAAGGAGGTCGGAGGGCGGGAGGAGAAAGAAACGGGAGGTCCGGTCCGATGGACGAAAAGATCGCGCGCAAGTTCACCCAAAGTTGAACTGGAAACCACCAGGGGGATTTTGCGCGTTGGATCGCGATTGTTGTCTTCTTGTTCCTCCACTGGGGCCTGTTCCACCGAATGGACCTCCAGCTCCAGCAAATGAAGAGCCGCCCATCCCAGCACCTCCAAATCCAGGTGGGAAACCTCCTCCTCCCATGCCGCCCATCCCGCCTGCAGGGAAGCCTCCCATTCCTCCTCCTCCTCCTCCTCCTCCCATTCCTCCCATTCCTCCCATTCCTCCCATTCCTCCCCCGCCGCCACCAAACGCACCGAACAGGTCGGCCAAGTTGATGTCAGGCCCTCCTGCGCCTCCGCCTCCATTGGCAAAGTGGAACCCTCCAGCAGGGAACCCGCCTCCACCTCCGCCGCCAAAAGGTGAATCGCTGTCAGGATCGTCTGCTCCCATATCGTGCCGTCTCCTCTTCTGATCATCCGACAAGACACTGAAAGCTTCGTTTGTCAGCTTGAACTTTTCCTCGTCTCCGCCCTTGTCTGGGTGATGTTTGAGCGACTCTTTGCGATAGGCCTTCTTAATGTCTGCTGAGCTCGCGTCTTTGGGCACGCCGAGAATCTTGTAGTAGCTGCGCGCGAGGGCGACGAAAAGGCGGGTCAGCGATAGAACGCCTTGCACCTCGAGCTGTCAAATCGTACTCACTCCTTCTTTTTGCTCCTCTTCAAATCGGCTTCAGCAGACCTGAGCTCTTGCTTCAAGCCGTTGAGCTCCGTGGCGTTGCCCGAAGCCTGACTTTCTTCTACTGCCGCTTTAAAGTCTCGCACGGCTTCCTCGTAGTTCTCGTTCTTCAACTTTGAGCGTGCGCGCGTGCGAAGGGCCTTGGAGTAGCCTGGGTTCAAGTTGAGCGCGCCATCGCAATCCGCAATCGCTTCTCTGTACTTTTCCAATTTGTAGTTCGCTGTCGCTCTGTTCGAGTAGAGGAGCGCCTTGAAGCCCGCCACTTCTCCTTCGGCAGAGATGGCTTCATCAGCAGCTTGCAACGCGTCAGTGTATCTGGTGGAAGTGCTTGGTTAGAAGTAAGGTCAAGTCGCATGTAGGCGGCACGGCAATCGCACTCACAATTTGATCGCTTCTTGCAAGCTGCCCTTCTTGAACGCTTCGTTGGCCTCATTCTTGACAGCTTCGAGTTTCCTGCATCGTTTGAGGAGCGCTCGAGCGCCAGCATGCTCCGGATCAGACCTCAAAGCAGCTTGACAAGTCTTGACAGCCTTGTCCATCTCTGTGCCACGCGCACAAAGGATCCGCGCGCGCATGAAAAGAGCGTCTGGCTGATTAGAGTCTAGCCTCAACACATCCGAGACTGATCCATTCGCTCCATCCATGTCGCCCTTCCTGAGCAAGAGCTCTGCTCGGAGCAATCGCCATGCCACGGGCACTTCCGAGACTGCCCTTTCAGCTTGTGAGAGGGCCATCTGCGCATGACTCCAATCCTTTGATTCTAAACTCTTTCTGAATGTCTCGAGATGAGATCTAGTCGATCGGACCTGTTGCTGAAGCGATTTGGCAGCATCCAGACCTGGATCTATGCCACCCGCGTCCGTGATCTGAGAGAGAACAGTGTCGGCTGCGTCCAGCTCGCCGAGCGAGAAGTGGCACCTAGCTAGCCTAATGAGCGTCTTGGCCTGTGGTGATGAAGATTGCAAAGCGGCAGCCTGCTGACAATCTGACAAGGCGAGCTTGAATTGCTTTTTGCTCATGTACGCTGCTGCTCGATTGGTGTAATACGAAGGTTCCTGAGGATTCGACTCTGCGAGCGGACAGCGATTTCGAAGTGTGAGCAAGAGCTACAAGACCGCAAAGAGCGTGTGTACTCACCGATGGCTTGTGTGTAAAGCCTGATCGCCTCGTCGTGTTGGCCTGCTCTGAAAGCATCGTTGCCCTTGTCTTTAGCAGTGGCAGCATCGGCCTTCGCGGCTTCGCTCACCCTATGGCATGAAAGATCATAGTGTAAGCTCGATTGCCGAGAGGAGTGGCAGCTTGCCTCGACGGTACTTACGTTCCTGCGTGTCGAGAAGGACCAGAGGTGTTTGTGCCGCTGACATTGGGCGCATCCGTCATCACTACATCTTCGTCCGCCATCTTTGTTCTGTGCAGGCACGTGTGCTTGAGCAGTGTGTCTCGAGAGGGTAGAGTAAGCTGATCCTCGACGTGACGCCCTTGTTATGCCTTTGATTGTGGAGCGATGGAATGCGCATCCCAAATCTATTATCGATGCTGGTGCGAGGTGGATATCGATGTCGGTGTGCCGTCTCGAGCACCAGAAATTCGCTGCAAGCGTCTCGGTCTGCACAGCTGCACGCGAGCCGTCCCAGTCGCGCGTCTTCTATCAGCGTGGAGGCGCTTCCAGAAGAAGGCCGACGAGCATACCAAGTTTCGAGATCAATCTGCAAGAGCAAGTCACGTGGCTTTGTGATCGGCGCTCGAAGTCGTGAGGATCGAGTCACCATGGCGACTGTGAATTTGAATCTTGAATCATGAATGTAAAACGATCGATTGTTGAATTCATCATTTTCACGAGTCCAGGCTTGAATGACGATCCAGTGAAGGGCAGCTGGCCGACCTACCCAGCAGCACTTTGATTCCTGAATTTGTTTTGTGAATCGAGTCGTGATGCTGTTTGTCAAGGGCACCTCTATCACTCAGCATTCGTGATTGTTATGCAGCATTCGTGCCTTGAAAATGTGCTGACTGGCATAGGCTCATGCCATGTAGGCGACCGAGCGAGTCACGAGTCTGTGCATCGTGCCAGCCCAACGACCCCAAACACAGCATCCATGCAGCTGAACAGTTACATTCAAATTCACAATTGTTGTGAATCTTGAATCGAGGCTATGCCCTTCTCCACACTCGAAGACTACTCATGACGATATATATAGCTGGGCGTCAAAACCTAAAGATTGCCGCGGACGTGCTAAGGGCGAGCAAACAGCAGGTCTTGCTTTGTCCGCTACGCGACCGCTTCCCCACATCGCACCCATCACTGTGATCGCGTGGTTTTAGGACGCCGCCTATATATATACCGTTGTGAGTCAAGAGTATATGTGCGCGCTGGTCTCCACGGGGAAAGAGCAAGCCCACGTCGAAGGTGAACGCATTGAGCAAAGCGAGTCAGGCACCGTGCGTGCGCGTGCGTGCGTGGCGTGCGTGCGTGCTTTGCTGCTGCATGTCAGAGTACAAATGTCCTCAAAGCAAATTCAAGGCCCTTCCTGCCTCGGTGTATGTTGTAGAGCTCGTGTGAGCCTTATATACCCGTGGCAATGCGCCCCAGACCTCGAAAGCTTAAGGGACCATTTCCAGTCTTGCTGCGTTGTGGACTCTCCTTCTCGCGCCTTCCTCCACATGTGTGCGAGAAGGCACGGCAAGCTTCACGAACGGCGATTTGTTCACTCGGTCGCCCATGCACAGCAGGCAGCTCAGCGATTGGCTGCCGCTGACAAGGCGATTGGAACGAAAGTTGCCAGAGCTCACTGATAAAGCGCAACATTCTCTGATGAGAGTGAGTCAGAGCGAAGGCAGATAGACTGACCGCGGATACTCTTGGTCAATCAGAAGGCGAATTGCGACGCGAATGAAGCGGCTCGCACGCCCAGAGCAAGAAAGGGCCGCAGGCACATATGCGCTCTAATTGATGCCGCCGCTGCCGGCGTTTCCGCAAGCGAGGTGCACCAGAGAACCGCGCTAGCTGGCTCGGGCAGAAGATCATTCAGTTTAGTCCGAGTCAGAGAGTCATCACCAGTCGTGAGATATAGCCTCGTCGGTCATCAGTGTGAGTTTTGGGGTAGCATATTTGCCTGTCTGACGAAGGGAAGACAACGATCACTCGCGATTGCATTCATCAGGGACGCTTTACCCCACACGTATCACCACGCACACGATATCACACTCTGACTGCTGACACTGTGACTCCTCGTGTGAATCGGCTTGCTGGAGTCCTGCGCCCATACAACACGGCGTAGTTGTAGTGTGCATTTCTTACGTCTCCCTCGTGACGTGCTGCTTGCCGCTCTCGCTCTTCATCCCCACGATCCCATCCAAACAGGTCTCCACCGTCTGGCCAATAGACATAGAGTCCTCCGCGTGCAGCATCGACTTTACCTCTGTTGTGATTCGCGCAAGAAAACTTCCCGAGCAAGTTGTTGGATAGATCACACCCACGCGTCGTCGTGTAACATCCACCTTGCCTGCGCGCATAGCCTCTTGCGCTTCTACACGATGGCTGAGTTGCAGCCACATTTGGCCGTCAAGCCGGGCTCTGCGCCTCCCTCGCCGGATCAGGACGGCTTGACGGATCTCAAGACGCATCAGCATGATGGAGAGGAGCTCGAAGGGGTGATGCGCGGCACGAGGAATATCGAACACAACAAGGAGCTGGCTCGAGCTGATCACCAATGGTGGACAAATGAAGAGGATCGTAGTGTGCTACGAAAGTTGGACATCCGCCTTGTGCCTCTCTTATTTGTCACCTACATGCTCGCAGCTCTAGACCGATCCAACATTGGCAACGCAAAGACGGCAGGGATGAATGAAAACTTGGGCATTTCCGATCCCGATTTTCAGTGGCTTCTTACCATCTTCTACATCTCTTACTGCTTATTCCAGTTCCAAGTGCTGGCATACAAGATCTTCAGACCGTCCAGGTGGATCTTCTTTTGCGTCATTGTATGGGGAGTGGCATCCACTCTGCAAGCTACAGCCACTGGGTGGAGTGGACTCATGGCTGCGCGCTTCTTCCTAGGAGTGAGCGAAGCCGGGTACGGTACAGGTGCGTAAGCCGAATGCGTCTCTTTCTCTTTTCTGGCGCCTTGACCTTGGCTGACGTCTCATCGTCTTCTTGCAGGTGTTGCTCTTTATTACAGCTTCTTTTATCCCAAGCAGGAAATCGGCATTCGTTTCGCGTGGTTCATTACTGGTGGAGCACTGGCATCCTGCATTGGGGGATCCATAGCTTACGGCATTCAGCAAGCCAAGACGTCTGTCGAGAATTGGCGCCTGCTGTTCATCATCGAGGGCATTCCTACCGTGGTTCTCGCGTTCGTGCTCCTGTGGCTCATGCCGGACTCGATCGCCACCAGCTCTTTCTTGACTCCGCGAGAGCGTCTGATCGCAGAGGCTCGGCTCTTTCGTGATCTGACAGATCGGACGGCAGCAGAAGAGGTGGAGGAGACCGCTGCCACATCACAGCAAGATGGAGCGACGAAATCGTTGATGACGAGCAAAATTACAGGTCTTCGCTCCGGCATTGGTCAGAAGCTCGACACCAAGAATCTGGCCGCAGCTTTCAAGGATCCTCTGAGCTACACCAACTCTATTCTGATTTTCATCACCAACGTCTCGTACAGCAGCGTGCCCGTCTACCTGCCCACCATCTTGAATGGTATGGGCTACACCAGCATCCGAGCGCAAGGCTTCTCAGCCCCACCGTACCTGGCTGCTTGGGTCTTCTCTTTGCTTTACGTCTACACGGCCATGAAGCTGCGCGTTTGTGGTCCGTTTATCATACCCGCTACGCTGGCTGGAGCAGCAGGCTACCTCGTCCTGGCTCTCTCCAAGGACGATCACACTCGATACGGTGCGGTCTATCTCGTCGTCATTGCTCTCTTCACGCAGATTCCCATGCTCTACATGTTCCTGCTCAACAATACACCCGGCGAATCGCGCAGAGGTGCAGGGTTAGTCATCTTTGGAGTCATAGGTCAAGCTGGGCCCTTCTTGGGCACAAGGCTTTTCCCAGCCAAGCAAGGCCCCTACTACGCCAAGGGCATGTTTATTAGCGCTGGATTGCTCTTTGCTGCTACGGCCATCTCTACCGCGACTACCGTGATGCTGTGGCAGAGGAACCGCATGAGGGATCGAGCCGAGGAAGCGCTAGAGAAAGGAACAGACCAGCTTGAGAAGACGCCCGAGTCACTCGCTGCTCTCTCTGCGGAAGAAGCTGCAGAGAGAAAAGGGTGGCTCAAGAGGCTCGACGCTAGCAGACGCGGAGAGGACAGTCCGTACTGTAAGTTCCGGAAAGCGCATGCGAAACGAAGTTGCGACTTGTCTGACCTCGCGCTTTGTCCTTTGCGCACAACAGATCGCTACACGATCTGAAAAGCGCGGTGCTGCGTGAGGGGACACGGAGTAAATCCTGGCCCAGCTTTGTTATCATCTGTCTTCACAAAATCAGGAGCTGCGTGTCTTTCAGAGAATTGTGAATGACACTTGATATGCTTTCTATTTCCTGCCCAAGTTTTCGAGGTAGGACTCGACTCGAGTGACTGTAGCTGATCCAGGATGAAACATGGGGGCTCATGAAGCCGCAACGGCGGAAAATGGTAGCGAACTGGCCATCGACTGAGAAAAGGCCTGGCTGTGAGAAGGTGAGGAAAAGCTGTCAAAAGAAATATTCTCGATGAAAGGCAGCGGTCCTAGCTGCTGGGCACATATACAGTCGTGAGTATGGTCGACGACCCCTCGGGTCTCCGCGTCCACTTTGCATGGCCCTCGTGCGTGCCTCGTCATCCGCATGTACACATGCAGAGCGGCACCACTCACCACTCACGACTACTCGATCACGAATAACTGCTGTACAGAGGCGCCCGACTGGTTATAACGGTGTAGTAGCCACCTAACGAGTGCCAAACCTGCATGCCTTTAATTGCGATGAATTTCTACAGCTGCCAGACCGCGCTCGGCGCGCGGGCAGCGTGCAGCTATAGAAGTGCGCGCGTCAGCTTCAATTAGCGTCGTGATAGTCAACAGTGTATGTATAGGCCTCCGAAGAGTCGTGCATCAGCATGCAGCATCGTTAATCATGCTGTTGAGCAAGGCGGCAGGAAGCCCCTCTTCGCAATGAAGTGAATGAACGCTTGCGGGCGGTCTGGCAGGCGCGGCAGGCATCTCAAATTCCTCGTCGCTCTCAACCGCGCGGCTCCTTCGCCTGCCGGCGTACGAATGCTGCTGCAGCAGGCAGGTTTCACTCGACAGGAGCAGTCTTGCTCGATCGTCCGGCGACAGAACAGTCATATCTGCTGATGAGGCAAGCAGCCACCTGGCCCGCGTGCCGGCCACTCGCGGCCGCCTGCTGACTGCCTAGCTGCTCCAGCTACGAGCACTCACCATGCATGCAGCGGTCAAGTGCGTCGCATTAGCTGCATACCTGCAGGCTCGCTGCGCTCTTTGTCCTTCATGCGCGCCTCGCGCTGTTGCTGTCCGTACTGAACCACTCAATGGACGCGCGAGATGGGGCGAACGCCGCGCCAAGCGTGAGCGTGGAATGCCCACTGAGAACGCCCATGCAGAAAGCAACGCCCGCGTCTCGCCGCCCATCGCATCACCCGCCCCTTGTCTATGCGTGCGATTGCCTCTCCCTCACTCCGTTCACTCGGCCTCCATCTCTCCCGCCCCCAGCTTCTCGGTCCCAATCAGCTCTCCAGTCTTGTCACATTCTCATCGGCTACGTACTGTGTACAGCCTTGATCCCCTCTCCCTCACTTTGAATCTCTCGCTTCGCGTTCAAAAAATCGCACCGCAACTTCGCTCAACCAGCGCACAACTATCGACCAAGCGCGCGCCATTCTTTCGCTCTGAGCAGCAAACATCAGCTCTGCTAGAAAGCTTCATCCTCACCCTCACCGTCGTTCATCTACATTTTGAACTTCTCGAGACGAAATGTCATCCGACGCAGCTTCTCATCCCGATGCTGGGCTCCTCCTGGAGCGCGAGCCGATCCGCAAGGCCGACACTCAACATTTGCGTCTCGGCCATGCCCTCGCCTCTCACCAGCTCAACCACCGTCGGCACCACCACGAGCTGGCGAACATGAAGCTAGCCAAGCGAGTGCTCGAATCTCGCGATGCTGCCAACTGCGCTGCCGGTGGACTGTATCTCGCTCCAGCGGCAGACGCTACGGTCCCATCCGCCAACAAGACAACAATATCGTGGGATAACTCTTGCTTGGACAAGAGCATTGACAAGATCGACGTCTACGTGTATGCCCCTGGCTCTCAAAGCGCCTCACTTCCCATCCACGCATACGTTGGCATTCCTGCCAACCGTGGCTCCTACGACATCAAGCTGGCGCCCAAGTGGTGGAACGCTACGTCGAACGTGGACCTTCAGCTCAACATTGTCAAGAGCGGCAATGAGCCATGGGACTCTTCAAACCCTTCAGGCCCTATCTGGCATGCAACCTACGCTGCTCCTCTGGACGGTTCTGCTCCTCCTGATGACGCCGTTCTTGGAGGCTCCGACTCCAAGATTGACAGCGTCGTCAGCGTCTTCTACTCTGGTGGTTCCTTGACTGCTAGCGGTAAGACTGCCGCCATTGTCTGCCCAATCATCGTCGTCCTGTGTGCGCTTGGTGTTTGGATACGTAAACTGCACATCAATCGTAACAACAAGACCGCCGATTGGGCCGACCACATGGACAAGCGCATGTCTCGTATCTCGCTCGACTGGAACTCTGGTGGCGATGGTGCTCACGGACCTACGCCTGGCTCGCGACCGGCCTCATTCATGCGCCCGCAAAGCACGTTTGCGCGACCAAGCATGGGCGGTGACTCGTTCTCGAACAACATGGCCGGCCGTGGTGCTGGAGCGTATGACGGCATGGTCGACGATGAACCTGAAATGTCCGAGGCTTACGGTGGCTTCCGTCGCCCTCCAACAGAGGGCCGCGACAGTATGAACAGGCAATCTCGCATCTCTTTCGCCGCCGACACCGCTGGTGACCGCGTTTCTCGTGTCTCTTACGGTCCATCGTCTGAGGGTCACAGCGCCGTTCGCGGTCACAAGCAAAGCTCTTCGATGTCCCGCGTTCGCAGCTACTACGACCCCGATGCGCCTGCCATGCCCAAGCTCGACAATAGATGGCAGGAGGGCAACCGTGAATCTCGCTTCAACGCCGATGAGCCAACCGAGGAGGTCGACGATAGCCACGACCTCACCTACATGAGCCCAACCCAAAACCAAGGACCTACACCTATCGGCAACGGCGACGTTGACACCATGCGTGCCAGCCTGGATGCCCAGCGCGCTCTTGGCGGCAACAGCCGCAACCAGCGAGCACTGACACCTGCCGACGATGAGGCTGACAACGACTTCCGCAACTCTGTGCTCAAGTACCCTGCTCTCTCCATGGTCACCGGACGCGAAGGCAGCGACGGTCATGACATGTTTGGCCGTCCTGTTTCGGGACTGTCCGAGGGCGGCGAGAGTGCTTACGCTCCCGCTGAGCAAGGTCGTCAGGACGAGTATATCGACCACTCCCACTACGGCACTGCAGGCGCGCACGCCATCTCGCCCGACCACCCTGCTCGTCGAGGTGCTCCCTCCACCTCGGCGCAGACTGGCATGGCGCCCGCTCGCAACTTGACTTCGCCAGACGACGCGCTACGTCAATACGCCGCTCTTCGTGCCGCACCAGGAGCTGCACCGAGCAACGGTGGCATGAGGACACTGTACACTCCCGATGCCACACCGCAGGAGCCTGTTCCTGCGGCAGGACGCCGAGGCAGCAGCATCTATATTGACGCCCCGGGAGCTCCTGGCCTTGGTCACCGCGTGCAAGGCAGCGTCAACACTGCAGGCTCATCGCTCAACGAGGATGATGTGGTCGGCTACAACCAGATGGAGCACTTCAACTCTGGTCGTTGAGCTGATGCCCGCCTTGCCGTCCGCCTGTACACGCGTCCTGTTTACGATTGCCACGAGTATGCACGTCCTTCGCTCCCGCCTTTGTCACCCCAAAGTCATTCTTCAACCACATTTCCGTCCACTTTCGTCCTTTCCTTCCCTCACTCTTGTCTCTTCCATTCGCAGATCACCGAAAGCGCCGTTGGTGCTCGCACGTACACTCTCTACACGAACACCGAGCTGCCTTGACGAAGGCAGCGAGATTCTTTGGCATCCCTTTTCCCGAATGGTCAGTGTTGTTTTCGGCTTCTTCTCTTTTCGATCGAATTCCCCCTCCGAGCTCTTTCCGATTTCGAAACCTCTCATCTGGCCGTTGTACACAAATGTTTCCTGGAGCGAGATCGTATGCACCCCATGCGCCTGGCGCGCTCGGATATGCGACGATATGCTTCGGGCCTCTTGTTTCTTCGGTACGTCCATCGGTCCTTCGATTCGCTGGTCTTGCTTCGACACGCTGCAACACCATATTCAGGCTTGCTTTGCAATAGTGAATTACAAATGCGGTAGATTCCCATTCGGCCCGGTCTGTGCGTGAGTGAGCCAATGAGCAAAGGGAAGAGGCTGCCTCTTGCGCATGCGCCCAGCGGCTTGCTCCGCTTCATCAACTCGTGTGCACTCACGACTTATGGACGTGAAGCTTGTTGAGCGCCATTCTGCGGTCTGAGTGGCGTGGCATGGCTCGCAGGCAGCAGAGGCGATGGAAGGTGGGGCGACATCGCAAGTCGCAAGTCTTTGGAAACGCGACTTGCGAACATCCATGCAGCGCAGATGCGCGCAAGGTGCCATCGATGCGTTGGCCGACCGTCGCGCTAGGGACCCGATTGTCACAGCAATAGCATGGTCTGACTGTCTGCTCGTCGCGCACAGCGCAACAAAGAAGACAGGCAATCAGAAAGAAGCTCGATAAGTGGGCTTCGGCAAGCGAGGAAGCATGAGGACTCGGCGCAACACTTGAGTGCTCCATCGCGCTGCCTCTTGGGTTTATCCTACTCCTTCTGACCTGCAGAAAACAAGGAGGCCCAAGCTCGACGGGGGGGGGCATGTATGCGCGAGCAGGACCTCTTCGGCCTTTGGATGCTTCGCAAGCGTTGATCGTTCGAATTTGACGTCATGGGAGCTCTCGCCACTCGCGGTAGAACGGCATACAAGACGCTTCCGCCTCCATGGCTTGTGAGCTGTAAATGACTCCAAGCTCAGGAACGGCAAACTGAATACGCTGACGCTCTACGTGTAGCGAGACGAGATGAGCTGCGAGACGGATCAAGACAGGTCCAGGGTCTAGATACGACAAAACTTGCTTCATCGAGACCCGTGCCTCTCCTGCCCTCTTCACAGCCCTCGACCCTTCAGCGGCTCGTTCGTCGGGCTAAGACTTGAACCTGGAAATGAGACGAAGATTGGACCTCTCGCGAAGCTTCCGCGTCAGCGCTTGGGCCCTATTCAGAGTGAAATGAGCGGCGGCGGGAGAGCCCACGGGGCTTCAAAGACCTGCACTGACAAAGTGTGTTCCTATCTTTCTCCTTGGCGAGGGTTGTGGTGTATGTGCAGGTACAGCGGCACAACAAGTAGCTAGCGGTACAGGAACACAATGTGTCAGACAGCGCGGCGATATCTGACAAACTTTGCAGCTACAAAAGGCGCACAAGCAGGTCTGCCTTTCCTCCATGACAGTCTGTCAAGTGCCTTCTGAACGTCCACCATCTTTTCCCGTTCCTCCACGGAACTGACAACACAAGGCTGATTCACTTCCCCAAGCATTTCAACCATGACGTCGGCTATGCAGGTGTCACGTTCGTGGAACGGCAGCTCCACCCTCCCACGAATGGCGCCTGGGATGAGCTCTTCAGTGCAGCTTGTTGATCTCGCAGCTGTAGAAGCAGCTCTCCGAGAAAAAACTGGCAAGCTCATGACTGTTGTCACGCCTCCAGATGAGCGCGAAGAGCTCCTGGACTCGCTCGACTCTGCCCTCATATCTCAGGCCGAGACAAAAAGCCGCGCAGTCGACAGGGCCGATCCGCGATACTTTCGAGAAGCAACCGTTCTGATCAAAGATCAGTACGACGACTACTCTACCACGACGGACAGTACCGCCAAGCATACGCCCTTCGTTCCACCGAGCTCCGCCACTCGGTCTCGCCCAGACCGACCGTCTGCATCCGTGCCCTCGTCTCCGATCTCCTCCACACGCAAGGCGTTGCACAAAAAGCGGTCGCAAGAACGCTTTTGTCCGCCTAGCCGGCCCGTCGACTTCGCCAAACCTTCAACCAGGACTTGTCCGCCTAGCCCTTCGGCAAATCTGCACAAGACTCTCCTTAGCGAAAAGCGCGGGCAAAGTCCTTGCACGTCTCGGGGTGATACTTTCAGCCACTTCAGCGATGACTCGTCTGATGAGGAAGATCACAAGGTAAGCGCGCTCATACCAAAGACGTCAAGCAAGGAGCTCTTGCCAATCTGTTGACTAAATACGCCCTGATTTGCTGCTCACACCACAGTCGCCATCAATGATACGCGCCATCAAGAAGAAAACCTCCCTGCCCTCTCTTATCGGCGGCCGCGTACATCGGTCGAAACCTCCGTCAAATTCGCTGTCTCTCCACGAAAGCCCGTCGGACTACGGAAAATCCTCTCTGGCAAGATCGAACAGCACAAGGCGGAAGCCGCCATCACATTTGCTGCTCCTCGATCACGGGCCATCATCCGAATTTTCATTGGTGCCCTCGCCAAAGTCGTTCACAAGCGGCAAACATGGTTTCGCATCTGCCACGAGCAGCGACTCGAATTCAACTTCTTCAGGGTCTCTTACAACGACGTCGGACCTCACTCCCAGAGGCTCATCCTTGAGTCTTCACGGCTCCACATTCGATGACTCTGTAGAATGGGCAATGAAGTCGAGCGACTTTGTGACCTCGCGCGATTCGCGGTCAAGTGCGTCAGCTTCTGCCACAGAACGGAGCCCTTTCGCTAACGAGGATGCTCAAATAGCTTTCGACGGCCCTCATGCTCTTGTGCGTGCTAATCCGGCAGTCATGCAGCGCAGCATCAGCAGCAACGGCACAGTTGGCCCCTTACCGCCGAAGCCAATATTATCATCCTCATCAGAGTGCCGAAAGGATCCGTGGGAGTGCTTACCAAACAGTGCTCCCTTATTTGCCACGTCGCCCTGGTTCAACTGCTTGCAAAGAGACAATCATGATCATTCTCTGTTTGCTCTTCGTCCTCGCAAAGCGCCCCCCATACCGGGCGGGGCTCCGATGCCGGCCAGACCGGCCAGACCTGCCGCACCTCTAAGTGCACGCTCATCGGCTTCCAGCTCACCGAACCAACGTCATGAGCTACTGCTGCCCAATGCGTTGCGCAATTGTCATCATACACGGAGTAGCAAGACCACTCGCTCGGGCTCAACTCCGTCAAGTGCGCATACGTTGCGTCAGGCATCAACACATCCCTTCAGTAGAAGCGAAGAAGCGCTCAGTAGCCCTCTGCATCTCTCTTCTGACCCGCCGGTGCCTTCGGTCAGCTCTACCATTGATCATGTCAGCCATCCAAGTGCTATCGACAAAGCGTTGCCACAGCCTCCTTCTTTCTTGAGAATGGATTCGCACGAATCGGCCCGATCCCCAGTCTTCGAGGACTCGCCCAGCTCTTCTCCGTCAGGCTCGCCGCGGCTCGGCGGCGTGTTGCCGGTAAGATCCGAGCTTCCTGTCATACCCCACCGAGGGGTGTCGCGTAAAGGCTTGCAAGCCGACGTCCTAGCAGCCTCATCCAAGGCCCCTTTGACCGCAAAGTCGGCGCTTCGTGTGCCTGCTCGTTGCCTGTCCAACGACCTGCGCGGTCCTCGCGCAATCCGATCCTTTTCATTGCCCTACATCAAGGACCAACCGCGTGCTCTTCCCTCCAGACCTCCGCCCCCCTCTTACACGCCCCCAGCTCCACCGGCCAAACAGTGCGAATTGGAAGAGTTTCTTGGTGCGAGTACAGACTCGACTACATCAAGCCCAAGCAGACCGGAATCACCCCTTCTACCACCTACCGCTATCCACATTCCTCTTCCACCTCCACGCGACAGTAGCGCCTTGCTTTGCCACGTAGCAAGAGGCGTTTGACGATGGGCCTTGCACGCGCACTGTCGAATTGCCGTGATCATGATTTCGCGAACACGAATGCATACTTGCTTCATGCTTTTGGACAGAGGATCGACCTCTCTCGTGATCGATGTCCGACCTCGAGCTGACAGTATGTCCATTTCTTCATAAGGATTTTCACGAGCGCGGAACGTGGCAGAAGGGGGTCAATCAATGCTGTAAATGTTTGTGTCATGTTCGCGGCCGTACATGAGGCGCGCTCGAGCGCCTTCATCCCTCGCCTCCTCATGCGGCCCGTCATCTCCGAAACGCGAATGGATGCAATTGTGGCGTCTCAAGTGTCTCGTGTCTGCAAGACGGTACCTCGATCTAATCATTCCTCACTGTGACTCCTTCTTCGCGGTCGCACGGCGCCAGACGAATGTACGTGTCACACGCTGCTCAGTCGTCTATTCTTTTTGCTTTCCTTTCACCAGATCACGTCATCCAGGCGGCCCTGCCTCGTCTCCAACCAGTCACTGCGCATACTGCAAAGCATAAGAGGTTCCCATGTCAACAAACTTCGTCTTGACAGTCTTGTGCCTTCTGGCCAGCAGCGCGCAGCTCACAAAGGTGGAGAGCAGGGGCTGTTGCACACAAGCCGCACTGCCGCGTTTCAAGCTACCCTTTGACGGATCTCTTCCCGTCTCCTCCTTCGTCCGACAAAGACCTTCTCTAGAAGCGCAACAGTGGCAAATCACAGAACCGGATACGTTCGACACTAGCGGAGGACGCGAAACTTTGCTACCTCCGCCAACGAGCAAAGAGCAAGCAAAGGCGTCGGATGAAAAGGAGAAAAAGGAAAAGGTGAAACATTTGCCCTCCTTTTACCACGAGGATGTGGACCATCAAGGCGAGAAACTTTTGGAGCTGCAAAGAGACCCTGCTGGTACTGAAGAGCGTTGAGAGCCTCGGGTGCGGACACAGATAAAGTAAGTCGTCGGCAAACGAGGTCGTCGTAAAACTACAACGCATCGTCCGGAAACGCACTCGCTAATCAGTCTAAGACTTGGGACGACTGGCGATTAAGATCATATAATTATCTTCGGTCTGACTTGGCGGTCTAGGGACTTGGAGTACACCACGAGAATGGCAAGGCCGAAGCGTCAGCTTGACGCTGAGGAGATGGAGAAGGTGATCGGGCCCAAAATGGCGGGTCGATTATTTCATTCGACGGGCAATCGCTGGCCCTCTTCTTCGACTTCGAGCGCTGTAGCTTCCATCGCAGCTTGATGCTCTTGCTCCTCATCAGCTTCGGTGGTTTGTGCCGCACCGTCGGTATTATCGGCATGCTCTCCGTTTGTAGGGAGGGAAGCGCTCTCGGCAGCTTCATCGCCAGCAGCGTCCTGATCTGCGGGTCTCGCATTCGCCAACGCATCTACGTCGTTCATGTCCCTAAAGGCAGCTCTTCTAGCCTCTTTTGCTTTCTCTCTCGCCTTTACTGCCTTGTCCGGGTGAAAATGACGATCCCCAGACGCGCTGCTCAGATCACGACCGAAAATGCGATGCGATAGGGCGCTAAAGCCAAGAAGAGGGCATGCTTCGCGTCAGTCGTGGCGAGGCAGCACGTGCGGCATGCAACAACTTGTTGACTCACCTTCTTTCTTGCTTGTCCAACATCAAGTTGACACTAGCAGGTGCACGCCAGATGGGGTAGGAAAGCACAGTCTCGATCTTTCCTCCCTCGTGTTCGCTCGGCGCAAAGTCCGCAAAGAAGCTTCCCAGCTTTCTCTGCTTGAGATCTTGGAAGAATGGGCTGTCGGGCAAAGAAGTGATGGTAGGGTAATGGTTTGCCAGCATGAAGGCCAGTTCGGATGCCTGCCCATGAGCCACCTTTTCCGGGGCTGAAAATGGTCTGAGCACCGACGCCCCGTCGTTCAGGACTCTCCACTTGCAGACCAAATTCGGGTCTTTGCCAGCCTCTTGCCGGCCGATCGTTTTGATTCCCGTGCTGAGAACGCGCAGCTTGAGAGGGTTAAGAAAGTTAAAGCCATCTCTACCTGGACCGCCTCCATTGATGACAGCTCGGACGCTGGTGCTGGTAGTGTACATTGATCTGAGCGGCTCGCCTGCAGTGTTGCGGACAAGAAAGTTTCTGGGCGAGAGTGCGTCGCTGAAACCAAATTGGCTGAAAATAGCAGCGATTTGAGGATGGTCTGGATGTACGTAGGTGTAGGGGTCTTCCTTGAAAGGTGTGCCTCCAGGCTTGCCGAATCCCGAATCGTGGTCGTGCTTCTTGCCTTTATTGGCACGAGCAGCGGCGTGATTGTCCGGTTTGATATGCGCATTGGGATCAGCGGGCGGAGCGTTGTCGATGTCTTCTTGCGTCTCCTGAACGTCAGTCGCACTCGATCTGGCCTTCTTCGCGTCAGGCTGTTCAGCGATTGGCGAAGCGCTTCGCTTGCTTGCACCGCTTGTGCTTCCTGCAGCTTCGGCGCTTCGTCCAGCTTCGTTGTACTCCTGAGCATCGGTAGCGCTGGCGCTCGGTACAGGCACTGGAGCTTCAGCATCAAGCACATCCATAGCGCGCTTCATTCCCAATGCCACTTCCTCATCTTGATCAGTGCCAGTGTGTGCCATTTCCAAGACAGCGACGAAAAATCCGCCGGTGTTCTGATAGTGAGGATAGAACCTCATGCACTTTTCCAAGCCCAGATCCTTCTCCACTCCACAAGGCCAGAGCGTGTAGGGTGTTCGGGCCGCAAGAGACGGGTCGGAATGGTGCAATTCTGCATACGAGCCGACCCAGCTAACGTCTGGCAAGGTCTTTCGGTACTTTTTACTTCCAAAGTCTGGCCAGCCTTGCTGATCCTCCGCTTTGGGCTCGGCTTGAGCCGCGTTAGGCTGCTGCTCGACGTCGGACGCCGGAATCACTCCATCTGCGGCCTGGTCGACTTGCATTGCTTGCTCCTGCCCTTCTGTTGCCTGGTCCTGACTTTCAGAAGCAGTAGCTGTCTCAACCGTGCCTTTGTCGTCCTCCGGCTCGACGTTCGGCGTAGCCTTCTGGCGAAGATGCTTGCCCAACCCAGGACACACGCGCCACGTAGTCAAGCCTTTTGTGCGCTTGAGATTAGGGAGATAGCCAGAAGTGTCGACGATGTGCAGGCGACCTGGTTTGCCACTGAAGGGATCAGCCCCGTACTCTCTCAATGCTGCCGATACAACCGCTTCATTTTCCACGGGGTTCATGCTGCAAGTCGAGTAGACAAGACGTCCACCAGGACGCAGACCTTGAAGACCTCGTAAAAGAATGCGCAATTGAAGACTAGGGGCAAAGTGAAAAGCTCCGGCATCGTCAGCCAGAGTCGGATCGTTCCACCTACGCTCGGCACTCACGCATGAAGACCCATCGCATTGTTGGGTTGCCAATCCTTCCATATGCCAATGTTTTTGCGCAGCGTACCATCGCCCGAGCAAGGCACATCCGCCAGAACCCTGTCAAACTTGAGCATCTTAGTAATGTTGCCAGCAGAGCCGCTCGTATCCGCATGCTTGGACCTCCACGGGACTTCGACGAAGGGTAACAGAGAAGCGTCGTGATTCGTGACGAGGAGGTTGGCAGAGGGCAATCTGGAGCTCTGATGCACCAGCATGTAAGCTCTCTTGATATCGCTATCGTTGGCTACGATGATACCTGGTGGAAAGGAGTTGTACTCTGTGCTTCCAGTGTTTGTAGGACTGTGCAGAGCTTCGATGATCTGAGCCGTCTTGCTTCCCGGAGCTGCGCACATGTCCAGTACTACGTGATGAGGTTGCACATCCAGAAACAGCGGAGGCACCATCGAAACTGCTTCTTGACGTGAGATGGACCCCTTTGTAGAGGATGAAGAACGCGCACTCGGCATTGAGGTCAGCATGGAGGCTTGAGGCAGTGCCATTCTGTTCATATCCCGACTTACCACAGCAGTCTCGTGAACCAAGAATCCCTGAAGCTTCTTGAACTGGTCATTCTTCCTGAGCACGTTCTTCTTGACGTCGATTTGCCAGGCCAGTCCATCCGGGTACCAATCCAATCGTCTGGGAGCCTGAACAGGTTCCCCTTCCCACTCGATGCCTTGCAAAAAGGGCAAGAATTCATTCTGCATCTGATGGGAGATGACCGATGTCGTTGCTTTGCCCATCGTGATGCGAAAGGTGGTGGGCAGCGGGGAGCGGAGGGTTTGGAGGAAAGCTGGCCATTCGGAAGGTGGCAGAATGCCTTGGTCGAGGTAGTACGCCTCGCTGTATGCGGATGGGCGGGACGTGGCATTCGCGACATCGTCAGAGTCAGCGTCTGCAAGCTCGTCGGGGCCATAACGATGTTGAGCTCACAAATTGGTGTTCTTCATCTTGATGGGTCCAGATTGATTCCTGTCCTTACCACCGCGGCCTCCATGGCTCGTGCCGGCATTATCATCTCTGCGTCCCCGTCCCCCTCCATACCCTCCCCTGCCTCTACCGCCACCTCCTCGGCCCCTTCCTCCGCCAGCCCCAACATGCCCTCTAGTCTTAGCCATCGTCGTCCTGAAACGTCAGTCCGAGTGCGTGAGATAAGCTTGCGCTCAAGCTTGGAGACGAGCTCCTACGTCGACGCGTCAACCTGAATGCAAACGGTTTGGCTTAGTTGAGAGCCTGCGGTGAGTAGAGTCTTGATTAGGACAGTCACAAAACGTCGATGCAGAATCGCGAGCGCCAAGGCTGCCCCTGCTGATTCAGCTGGTGTTGTGTAATGCCTACCCACGACTTTCTTGTGGCCGGGAGCGAAGAAGTCAAGAGTCGCGGTCTGAGCTGCCTCGCGCCTTTGCACTCAAAACTCAAGACGTTTGACGTTTGACTCACAGAAGACTGTTGACTCAAACTTTCAAATTTGTTGCCTGGTTTTGGCGATCACGTGATGACATTTTGCGCGTTCCTTCCTCACGCAAATCACGAACATGAGTGAGCGGAGGAATGACGGCGGGCGTGCAGGTGCAGGTGCAGGTGGGATGTTGTGGCCTCGCAAAACGCGCACGCAGCAGCGAAGGAGCGCATCAGTCACAGTCACGAGTGGTGCAGCTAGCACGCATCAGGTGTTGGATCTCGATCGATGAGCGAAATGAAGGGCGCACGCCGACTTCCCGCGAGGGCTTCACTCACTCCATCTCGACCGCGCTTCCCCTGGCCCACCTACACCGACCACTGTCACGAGTGAGAGCGATTCTGGTCGACATACCAAGAAGCGCACACTTGTCGCCCAATCGTCCTCTGCAACTGCCCCCGTTGTCGCGCGCTCACAATGTTCTCCTTCGCCCAGGCGCAGAACAAGGCGCCTGCGACGCCAGGCAACTTGTCAGTCAATGATCTGAGCGGTCAGCGTCAGGGACAATCCAACACGGGAAATGGCAGTGGCTTTTCTTTTAGTGCTGCGCCTCCTCAGCAGCAGCAGCAGCAGTCCTCGGGAGGTCCGTTTGGGCAGAACCAAAGCCAACATACTCAAGGCGCAGGAGCTACTTCGGGCTTCTCATTCGGATCTCAGCAACAGCCATCTCAATCCAGCAACAATCTGTTCGGTGGTCAAACGTCGGGTCAGACACAAGCGCAATCTCAACCTCAATCTCAATGGGGACAAATTCAATTCAATCAATCTGCTCCTCAAACTACATCGCTGTTTGGCAGCAGTGGTGCAAATGCCAGCAGCCAAAACTTGTTCGGCGGAGCAGCGGCTGGACAGGGCACGAATGCGCAGGCGTTTCAGCAAGGCGCACAAGCGCACTCGATGAATTCCGGAAGGTCTCCCCCTCAAAGAGAGGTGGAAGCTCGCTATATGCCCGGATACCTCGCCAAGCTCAAAGGTCAAAAGGTACGTTTCTTGCTAGGCACATTATCCTGTGCAGACTCTGTGCACCCTATCTGGACGCGGCGAGACAAGATGAAAGCTGACGGACTTTGCACGCGTCTCTAAAAGCCCTTCAACGCGCACGCTCGAGAGCCCAGCTCCGAGCCCAATTACTTGACCGGCACTCCAGCGCGAAATTCCACAGCAGGTATTGCTGGCGACTCCGCCGACTCTCCATCTGTCCAATTCTCATCCTCCTTCTTCAGGAGCGTGCCAGGCGACGCATCGACAGATCATGCCCACGGACGCTTTGGAAGCTCCATCTCGCCTGACAGGTACGGTCAGGGAGGGGCGGTCAGGGAGGGCGATTTGGAACCCTCGATCTTCGGACCAGGAGGTCTGAGAGGAAACAAGAGGGTCCCTTCTTCTTCCTTCAACGCTTCCAACAAGTCTCTGAAAGGCTCGCTCAGGCGAAGTAGAAGCGGTGCTTTTGGAAGGAGCGTCAACGATTTCACCTCCAGCGTGGGACCGGCCAGTTCAGAGCTGGACGACCCGCCGCCGAACGAATATCTGGCGGACGAGACGGCTCTGTATGCTCGAGGAGGGGCTTTTGGAGAGGATGCAGCTTCCGAGATAAGAGAGGTGGCGGGATCATCTCTGAAGAATCAGGCGACACACCGCTCCGCTTTATCACTACCACCCTCGAAAACGAACGACGCATCCAACGACGCATCTCTGCGCACCATTCTCATCTACGGCTTCAACCCGGCGCAAAGGAATGCCGTGGCGGAGCATTACAAATCTTTCGGAGAGGTGGTCGACATTTCTTTGGAAGAGAACAGCGGAGCTATTCGTTTGGAGTATGCTGAAGCTTGGGTCGCCACGAGAGCTCTGCGTCGGAATGGAGAAGCGGTACCTTCTGCATCTGGAGGGGGTTACGTAGGGGTCAGACTAGCTTCCGAAGAGCTTCACAGGCAGGTGGTGCTGTACGGACTAGAAGTCGTTGGCACTTCCACAGGAGCTTCACTTTCAGGTCCGCCATCGAGCTCCACGAGCGCCGCGGCCAGTCATTCTCAAGCAGCAGGATCTGCACAGCAAGCGAGTGCGGGATTGACAGGTACGGGAACGGGAGCTGGAGGTTCTTCTAGGGGCGCTACGCCAGCGTTCGGAAGACCCATCTCCATCATCGGAGAGCCTGGTAGCGCATTCGCAAAGAAACCGGCCTCCTCTGCACCATCCGCCAATCATTCTGCTGGTGCAGGCCAGGCCGGATCCGTTTCGAACACCAGCAGCCCTTTTAGGTTCGCTACTGCATCCCTCTTTGGAGGTGCTTCGAATCCGAACTCGACGGTCTCTAGAAGCTCTGCGCAGGACTTTGCGGGTAGACCTAACCAGCCCTCTGCGCAATCAGCTCCGACTCACAATCAGAATGGCGTCATGTCCAAATTGGGCGACGCCATCTTCGGATGGTGAGGGTCGAAACGATGATGGCAGGGAAAAATTGCATTCTGTACGTTCTGCCCTTTGGCCCAACGTATGCGCTTGATCAATGCCGCACTGCATCCCTCGTATGTGTGCGATTCCGCATGGACTCTCCGATTGAATGGCACTGCGTAGCTACGAGGAAAAATGTTGGGATCGCAACCACGGCTGTTTGGTGCTTGCGCTCGTATTGTGATGAAGCGAGTGGACAGGTCACGCTGAAGATGACGAGGTGATGCCGAGAGTGGAACACACGATCTTCTATTACACAAGCTCGAACCATGCGACGCGCGAAGTTTTAGTACAGCAGAATGATGAACAAAGTAGCTAAGCCAATGGTCCGAGCAGTCCATCTGCAAGCAAGAAAAGTACATATATCGAGGCGCTTCAAAGACTGGCGGGGCGACCCTTCTCTAAGAACGTCCAACATTCTCGAAGCAGACGGAAGGGGCAACATGCGGTGAAGGGGTTTGTGGCGTTGAAGTACAGGAATTCACTCGCAAGTTCTTGAGAGCAGTTGTCCGAGGGGAGAGGGGGGG